GTGTGTGTTATACTCCAGTGTGTGTGTGTAATACTTCAGTGTGTGTGTTATACTTCAGTATATGTGTGTAATACTTCAGTGTGTATGTGTTATACTCCAATGTGTATGTGTGTAATACTTCAGTGTGTGTGTAATACTTCATTGTGTGTAATACATCAGTGTGTGTTATACTCCAGTGTGTTATACTTCAGTGTGTGTTATACTTTAGTGTGAGTGTAATACTTCAGTGTGTGTTTATATTCCAGTGTGTGTAATACTCCAGTGTGTTATACTTTAGTGTCAGTGTAATACTTCAGTGTGTGTTATACTTCAGTGTGTGTGTGTGTTATACTTCAGTGTGTGTGTGTGTGTGTGTGTGTGTGTGTGTGTGTGTGTGTGTGTGTTATACTTCAGTGTCAGTGTAATACTCCAGTGTGTTATACTTCAGTGTGTGTGTGTTATACTTCAGTGTCAGTGTAATAGTCCAGTGTGTTATACTTCAGTGTGTGTTATACTTCAGTGTGTGTGTGTGTGTGTGTGTGTGTGTGTGTGTTATACTTCAGTGTCAGTGTAATACTTCAGTGTGTATGTGTGTGTTATACTTCAGTGTGTGTGTGTGTGTGTGTGTGTGTGTGTGTGTGTGTGTGTGTGTGTGTGTGTGTGTGTGTTATACTTCAGTGTCAGTGTAATACTCCAGTGTGTTATACTTCAGTGTGTTATACTTCAGTGTCAGTGTAATACTTCAGTGTGTGTGTGTGTTATACTTCAGTGTCAGTGTAATACTCCAGTGTGTTATACTTCAGTGTCAGTGTAATACTTCAGTGTGTGTGTGTGTGTGTGTGTGTGTGTGTGTGTTATACTTCAGTGTGTGTTATACTTCAGTGTCAGTGTAATACTTCAGTGTGTGTGTGTGTTATACTTCAGTGTGTGTTATACTTCAGTGTCAGTGTAATACTTCAGTGTGTATGTGTGTGTTATACTTCAGTGTGTGTGTGTGTGTTATACTTCAGTGTCAGTGTAATACTCCAGTGTGTTATACTTCAGTGTGTGTTATACTTCAGTGTGTGTGTGTGTGTGTGTGTGTGTGTTATACTTCAGTGTCAGTGTAATACTTCAGTGTGTATGTGTGTGTTATACTTCAGTGTGTGTGTGTGTGTGTGTGTGTGTGTTATACTTCAGTGTCAGTGTAATACTCCAGTGTGTTATACTTCAGTGTGTGTTATACTTCAGTGTCAGTGTAATACTTCAGTGTGTGTGTGTGTGTTATACTTCAGTGTCAGTGTAATACTCCAGTGTGTTATACTTCAGTGTCAGTGTAATACTTCAGTGTGTGTGTGTGTGTGTGTGTGTGTGTGTGTGTGTGTTATACTTCAGTGTGTGTTATACTTCAGTGTCAGTGTAATACTTCAGTGTGTGTGTGTGTGTGTGTGTGTTATACTTCAGTGTGTGTTATACTTCAGTGTCAGTGTAATACTTCAGTGTGTGTTATACTTCAGTGAATATGGGTGCATGTCATCGTATCCCAATATTGCATAGATCGATGCTCATGATGTCAATCTCTGGACTGTCTGGCCCAGAATGGATTATTTACAGACCGCAGTCACATAGCTGGAATATTGCTGAGCGCGGCGTTTTCATCTCAGTTTTCGTTTCCCAACTCTCTGCAGAAGCCATATGACAGTCATAGTGTCACACTCCCGGGGGAACCTCGGGACCTAGGAACCGAACCGCAGGGGTCTCGACCGACAGACGCTTTGCTTCTAAAATGATAGCTCATGTACCGAAATGATATGTCTTCATATTCAATATACAGCTTGTTTGATAAGACCGAACGCCAAAATCGATATGTTTAAATGCTAAGGTAATCACTATATATACCTCAGCACAGTTAGGTGTGATGCTGAACGCATTGTCAATACTTCATGACTACGCATACCAGGGACTTTAATGCTAAATAATACGTAAGTAGATGAAACTACTCGCGCATTTAAATCTAAACACCTAACGCTTATCGGAATAATCTTGATTTTTAGCACATTCAACACTGGGAAAGAAACCTGGCATTTTACGGCCGCCTCAAACGATAATTAGTGGAAGATTTCCACTTCTCCAGTCTTCATGGTTTTTAAATTGATTGTAGTTGGGAGCAAATAAAATCGTATATACAAGGCTGTCAACTGGCTCAATTTATTTGTGAGAGTCCTGAAAGTGGGACCTTTTCAGTCATAATAATTCGGGAGTCGAGAGCCTAACATATGTACATATGTATGTGTGTGTGTGTGTGTGTGTGCGTGTGTGTGCGTGCGTGCGTGCGTGCGTGCGTGCGTGCGTGCGTGCGTGCGTGCCTGTATGCATGCATGCATGTATGTAAACAAATTCACAAAATTAATACACAACACGGATTGTTCTCTTACATGTTCCAGCTTCATCTTCAGGGAGAAGTGATTACAGTTGCAGAAGGCATCGCATGGGTGTAAAAGTTCTGATTTGGGTGAGATTAAATGTTATCATGTCTTACAGCATTGAAGGCTAAACTGTGATAAACACACACACACACGTACTCACCACACACACTCCACATACACGTACTCACCACACACACTCCACATACACGTACTCACCACACACACTCCACATACACGTACTCCACACACTCCACATACACGTACTCACCACACACACTCCACATACACGTACTCACCACACACACTCCACATACACGTACTCACCACACACACTCCACATACACGTACTCACCACACGCACTCCACATACACGTACTCACCACACGCACTCCACATACACGTACTCACCACACACACTCCACATACACGTACTCACCACACACACTCCACATACACGTACTCACCACACACACTCCACATACACGTACTCACCACACACACTCCACACACGTACTCACCACACACACTCCACATACACGTACTCACCACACACACTCCACACACACGTACTCACCACACACACTCCACATACACGTACTCACCACACACACTCCACATACACGTACTCACCACACACACTCCACACACGTACTCACCACACACACTCCACACACGTACTCACCACACACACTCCACGTACACGTACTCACCACACACACTCCACACACACGTACTCACCACACACACTCCACATACACGTACTCACCACACACACTCCACATACACGTACTCACCACACACACTCCACACACACGTACTCACCACACACACTCCACATACACGTACTCACCACACACACTCCACATACACGTACTCACCACACACACTCCACACACACGTACTCACCACACACACTCCACATACACGTACTCACCACACACACTCCACACACACGTACTCACCACACACACTCAACACACACGTACTCACCACACACACTCCACATACACGTACTCACAACACACACTCCACACACACGTACTCACCACACACACTCCACATACACGTACTCACCACACACACTCCACATACACGTACTCACCACACACACTCCACACACACGTACTCACCACACACACTCCACATACACGTACTCACCACACACACTCCACACACACGTACTCACCACACACACTCCACATACACGTACTCACCACACACACTCCACATACACGTACTCACCACACACACTCCACATACACGTACTCACCACACACACTCCACATACACGTACTCACCACACGCACTCCACACACACGTACTCACCACACACACTCCACACACACGTACTCACCACACACACTCCACATACACGTACTCACCACACACACTCCACATACACGTACTCACCACACACACTCCACATACACGTACTCACCACATACACTCCACACACACGTACTCACCACACACACTCCACATACACGTACTCACCACACACACTCCACATACACGTACTCACCACACACACTCCACATACACGTACTCACCACACACATACACGTACTCACCACACGCACTCCACATACACGTACTCACCACACACACTCCACATACACGTACTCACCACACACATACACGTACTCACCACACACACTCCACATACACGTACTCACCACACACACTCCACATACACGTACACACCACACACACTCCACACACACGTACTCACCACACACACTCCACATACACGTACTCACCACACACATACACGTACTCCATGGGCGGATACAGAGGGGGGTGGGGTGGGGTGGTGGTGCGCACCCCCCTTTTTATTTCGAAAAAAATCTTTATTTCTGTATAAATTACCACCAAAGACAATAAATAGACCTTAATTGTGCACCCTCCCCCCCCCCCCCCCCCCCCTTTTCAAAAAAGCTGTATCCGCCCATGTACTCACATACCTTTTCAGATTGTAATCATTCTTGCTGTATTTCTTACTTTATTCCTAAATAAACTGTATCCGTTTACAATTGTGTCTGCACGTACCCAGTGGCGGTATAAAAAACAACATTTAACTCACTGCTTTTCAGATAAGTTCGAGTCTCGTCATTCTATTGTGGTAATTATAGTTTTAAGATTGATTTACAAGGAAGTCCATGAAATATACGTCAGTACGGTCTATATAACTAACCCTGTAATAACATTCCTTGTTCTGTATAATTAATAACAAATCATATGAACCAGCACGTATATTATTACTGATTGCTTACCGTGTGATATCAAATGTACACCAGACAATGTAGAAATCATACATCCCTTTGAACTATATTTTCAGTGACAGACAGAAATCTGATTAAGAATCGTGTAGAAGTTTGTAGGTAACTGTTATACTGAATCTCTCTTTCCGTGGTGCAATACTTCCGAGCTTTCTTACCTGTCACAGCAAATCAGATGTAAAAATACTTGTTCATACTAGTAACGAGTGATGTCATATTTAACGAATCTCATTGGTTAAAGATGCCAATTGTTGGAATTTCATTGGTCAGTATTTTTAGAGTCTATTTTTAGCAGTTGACGACATGCGGGGATTTCCTGTTTGTGTATATAAACGAGCTTGCATCAGAAACCCGCAATACAAGCCACCGAACAAGCCAGTTAGAACATGCCAGTGTAGTTGTATTCAATTCACATATTATATGTCCGAAAGCTAGCGACACCATAAAAAATGGGTAGAAACAGAATATCTAACCGAATGCGAAATTCTCAGAATTTCTCTCAAATCTGTGCCTGGCAGACCGTCCAGGACCGGTGTTTCTCCTCCCGAGACAGGCCTCAAGAGGAAGAGGGAAAGCGTCTTCCTCGGTTGCGGAGCAAATATTTCGCCCTGTAACTCATACGTCGGGGAAAACTTCATTGTTCATCAGCTACAGTGGTTCAAAATTCATAAGCTCATCAATGACATCGATTCTGGTGGAATAGCGTACTGCGATTTCCTTTCAACTCGAGGTGTAAGCCGAATGTCTCTCACGGAGGGTGCCGTGCGTATACGAGATGTGCCGAACGCGGGAGGGAACTCAGTTCTGTCGGAAGTGCTATCCTTCGAACTGATGAACAAGTGCTTTGCGGCTAGATTATTAAAGGTAAATATGCGATACATTGGAATTTTTTTATTTACGCACGCAAGTTTGTCTGTGAAGTGTGAAAATTTCACTTATGAAATGTATATATTCTTTCTTATTTATGTTTATTTTTTTATCTCAAACTCGGGGTATCCAACTAACCAACACACACACACACTCCACACCCCACACCCCACACCCCACCCCATGTCATGTATTTGCATGTAATGATATTGGCACCATTGTAAACAAATTTCGTGAGTTAACGCGTGATGCCGCAGTTACCAAAATCACATAATTATGCTAATGCATGTAATCGGTAATCGTTTCTGGACTCGCAAACCGATGGTTGATAGCTCGAACAACGACCCATGCAGTTGTGATGCTTGTGAATTCTTCTATCAGTACTAATTATTGCTATGTTTATTTCAGACTGAGATGGAGGTGTCCTATTTCCCCTGCGGGGGGTCCATCACGGACTACGTGTGCGAGGTGTTCGGCCAGCGACTCGGAGTTTCCGTCACCCGAGCCATGAAATACAAGGGAGACTACTCCGAGGAGGACGCATTACACCTACTGTGCAAGAAGTTAAAAGGTAAGACAAACTACGGGTACATAATTTTTCCTGATGATATCAGTCAGATAAAACGTGCGAAACAGAACAAAAGTCATACAGAGATTAGGGCTAATGTAAATCCTTAAACGTCTTCACGGTCCACCATTTTGTTAAATGATTAATTAATAGTCGCCTGCCAAAACAGGGGATATGTTGCCATTAAATAGCCCATTCATGTCACGGTCGTAGAGAATGACCATTTGGATAGGGTAACAAAATTGTTATATTAAGACAACAATAAGAATTTTTTAGACTCGCTGGTTGTATCAAAAGAGGATAACAAATATACTCGGTTGGTGTTATTCAGGGAAGCAAGTGCATTTTGGAAGGAACACTTGTGAGACTTAAGCGATTTCGTAGTGTTGTTTCATCTGTGTTTTGTTCTTATCCAATATCCAAAATATGAATAGACAATGAAAATGTCGTGATTGGTCAACAGGCTAAGGGTTGTTGTTGTCATGGTTACAGGGATAGTACAGTCCAGCCGCAACACGTTAGAAAACTGGAGCAAACAGATCTTGCACGTGTGGGCGACCAACAAGCATGTGGCCAGGGTCGTTGAGAAAGCGTATGAGCTGGTTCCGTATGACCTGAGGGGAAACACCATGGTCCTTGTCACCACGGCAACAGAGTCAAAGTTCATCTTCCTCAACGCCAGCTGAGAGGCGGACAGAGACGCCTGTAGCGCCCCCACTACATCACATGCCAAGCAGCACGCGCGGAACACACCGAAGTTGGGCCCAGAACATCGGGAAATGTCGGCAGTGTTGCCTTCAAGCAGTGCAAGGTGGACTGCCGAGAATGAGTCAGGAGACGTCACCTCTACTGCAGTTCCAACCATGATGGACAGATCTCACTGAAGAAGGCTGAGCACATGTTTACATGATCAATATATGAGTCAAAAGAAATTTGAGCCACTGTAGCATCTATCACAGTCGATCATCAAAAATGTCACCGCCATCATCACCATCACCATCATCATCATCATCATCATCATCATCATCATCATCACGTTCTCCCACCCCATAGTGATTATCTGCATACAAGTAACCGTTCTGGTTCGCCATTTATACCATTAACATATACATGTTACCTTGAAGCACAGCCTGGGTGTATCATCTCAATAGCCTATGTGAATGAACACTTGTGTTTATTTTCTTGTAAATTATCAGTGTACATATCGCTAAGGAAAAAACATTTTGTTACATGCAAGTTTGTTTGCTTCACAGCTGTATATATACAGTAAAAAATTTAAACGAGTTTATCCTCTCGTTCGATAACGACCTCGTGAGTAATACTGTTTAATTTTCGCCATAATACATTCTATGAATAAATAATGGAATGAAAACAAATAATCGAACAAATTACATTTAGATAATGGCCACAATACCCTTGAGCACACTTTTACATTGTCAAGTTCTGCACACTGTTAAACTGTTCACGTCATAGGCTTCTGAGATGAACCATCTATCAGTAAGTAGATGAGGAGTTATTTATAAATGGTCAGCAGATTCCGTCAGTTCCCCCGGCTGATGATAGGGCACTGTTGTGGGAGGACAAATATACCATACACCATGACACCCAGCTTGTACATAGTCAGTATTATACACCCCCTACAGCAGTATGTGTATGTGATGTGCGCGTTAGTTGGAGTGTGTATTTTTATGATTTGAAAGTTTTAATATATGGCATGATTGATGAACGAACCCCTTATTATATTGATGTTAATCATCATCAGATTTGTATTTGTCAATATCATGTTTGAATGTTTGATACACTGCTTTATGATCAATGTGTGTTTAGTGTGATGTTAATTATTGTCAGTTTTATGTTCTATTTTATACTTTTATAATAAATGTTTAAAAAAAGGGTTGTTGATGTTTCCAAAGCAGGATGGGCAAAGCAGTTGAAATGAAGCCACGTTTTGATGGGCGCGTCCTTGAAACCAGGATTAAGGGTCCATGTATGCTGTTTCAATCACAACCCCTGGGAAAGTGTCGTGGGAAGCACCCTAAACCTAGTTACATACGAACTGACCTGTTATAAATAATCAGATGCACCAATATCTGGAGCCATCCGCAATCACATCTTTTCCATCTCTCATAGAAGTTAATAATTTGATTTGACGGTTATTTTTAGCCTGGTGTCATTCGAATCGAAAACAATGAAAACATTAGACTGTGTCTAAACGTTATCTTAAAATCTGTACACCACAGATCTGAATTACCATGCGTTCAAGCTAAATGAGCTAGGGGCCCTATGATTCGAGCATGGTTTATTACAGAATACCTAGCCTTGCTCCAAGGCTGTACCGAATGAGAAGTCCATAGATGTGTACTAGTAATTTTATCCTTATAGTTGACAAGTCGAGATAAGCCGCCAGTATTTTATATGGGCGCCTTGTTCTTCTTATTTATATATTCTAGGGGTTATGATTTAAACCAATAACCATCTCCTTGTACATGTCTACAGAATGCCCTACATGAAGCACAGAGCATGACAAGTTCAGAAATCAGTGAAAAAGTCATATCTGCTTATGGCTTGAACGCAAAGAAACGAAAAATAAATGGTTAATTCTGAACGTCCATTTTGAAAATGGGACCAGTGGCAACATGTTCATACCTTACTGCACTTGAAAGTAACCAAAATATCAGCGTTAACACAAATGTCATTACTACAGCAGCAGCTTGTGAGTATAAACGATCTGGGTTATTGTTTTTTTCCCCAGTAAATATCCCATGATGTGACAGCGTGGCAAATATATAGGTAATCCAAATCCTCGCTGGCAAACACTAATGCACTTGACCACCTTTTGAACACAGATGGTAGTATGACGACTAGTGAATGTGTGTAATCACAGCTTTTCACCTATTACACCTATGGTTGTGAGTTCGAATCCCGGGTCGCCCCCATTGTGTTTCTAGGTTTGTGAACACCATATCCGTGCTCGCGGTAAACGTCTGAGACCTGCATCACTTCGGGCTTTCCTGTCACATTAAGCTGGCTCGCCGCGATATAACTGTAATACTGCTAAAAGAGGCCTTAAACCATAAGCCTCACTCACTAACTCACCTATTACGAGAATATCAAGATATTGTGAGTGAATGAGCGAGTGAATATTGGTCTCCTCTTATGACGAGTGTAAAGGACACTGGGAATCATTCTGTCCCGGAATCCCACTAGGTTCAACATATAGTACTATAGTGGAATGCCAATTTTCAATAACTATCAAGTACAACTTGGAATTCGACACATCCAAGTTCGACACAGCGAGGTCCGCCTGTACTACAATAATGTAACTGATTTTCTCAGTGTTGTCATCATTGTTGTCAATAAATGCACTTTTCTATCAAGATCTAGTGACTCGCTCCAACTTACAACCCCATTTGTTTGCTTTATAAAGACTGACAACAATGAAAGAACTTGTTTTATTCAAAAGATCACGGAAAAAACCCTGTCAGAATGGGTCTTATTTTGAATCAAGCCTGACATACATACATGACCTACCTACACTAAATACCAACAGATTATCAACAGTCAGGATGTTTAATTGTAAGCAGTGACGAACAGTGACAAGAAATTCTTTGGGATTTGCGTTCAACTGACTTGTAATCGCCCACTGGTCTGGGCTTCTGTTTTGATAAAGCATGTTTACAAATCCATCAATATTTGTTGCCTAGAAGCAAGCACTAGGCAAATAGTGGCCATCACCACGTGGTTGATATAGCCTGCTTTTCACCTTAACCAGCAAGTGTTTACATGTTAATCAAATATAATACAAAAGATGCATTAGTGTTTGTTTTGTCCCGAAACCAATCCTTAGCAGTTCTTTGTAAGTTACCTTTGACTTCCTATCGAAATATATCTTTTTCTGTCTCCAAACCAAATTTCATATAAATCAATTTAAATTTCTTCGACTAATCACAAAGAAACCAAAAGTGTTACCAAACGAAATAAAAGAAAGATTACCTGAAGTCCAACAGGAAAAGCTTGTTTGTTTTGAAGACGACGTAAACAGCACGTATTACTGCAGCACTTCACCCGGCCAGTGTGTGGGAATCGGTAGCCCAAGGGTAATTGGTAATTGGAGCTCCTGAGTGACAACGTTGATGCCATGTGGCGCGTTGGTGATCTCACCGAGAACATAGCCGCCAATAGCTACAGGACAGGTTGTAACAGATGGATGGTACCAGTACCATGGGCACCCACGTTCAAAGCTATCTATCTATGCAAATGAGCTGCTTCATCCGTAAAGGTCGACATTGACAAACATGTGTATCAGCTTTCGTAAACAACTTGTTTATCTGACGTATGAACAACTGAAAGGATGTGGGAGACTTGCTGCCTCACAGTCTGTGCAGGGACAGTTCCATCTCGTGTGAATATACTGTAGGAATATATTTCTAAATGAACAGACCGCATCCGTTGTCTAGTGGATAGGGCGTTTGAGCGCAGAGCGGAATGTCGGTGGTTCGATCCCCGGTCGTGTCATACCAAAAGACGTTCAAACATGGTGCTTATTGTTACCCTGCGTGGCGCTTGACGTTAAGTGGTCATCTCCCCGAGACAAGGGAGTTAACTGACTTAAAAAGTCCAGATGACTTTTATAGTCAGTTAAATCCCTTGCCTCGGGAAGATGCGGTCGGCACTTGACTGGTCGGCTCTGAGTCAGTATACCACAAACACACATGCATGCGCGTCGCTATCTAAGTGCAATGAACTTGAACGCGACGTTGAACCCCGTTTCACCTCACCTCAAATTAAACATGATTTCTTCTACATTGCGATATGGGCCAGGTGCATGGAACACAATCCTCGACACCCAGTGAGTAAGTTTCACCTGCATGAACAGTATTAAAACACATACATCTGGGGTTCGAGTGGTGAGTTGTGCAAACGCCGATTTGAAAGGTATATTCCATTCGTGACCAACTCGTGTTATTCCGGGAAAAGCCGAAGAGCGGCTCGTGCCCCTCTCGTGGCCATTTTTGCGACTGGGTTCCGACTACTTCTCGCGACCCAAGGCAGCTTGGGTTGTATACTCCCCAGGGAGTTGACAATGGCAGACGGATCTACTGCAGGTCAGGGTACAAATAAAAACCGCATTTGAGGAGATACTAGTACCGGGATACCTGCGGTCAATAATATATAAATACTCATTTACTGTCACTCATTTCAACAACTTGGTCTCATACAATTCAAGTCATAATTACACATTCAGCATACGTGTTTGTGATCTGGGCCTGTGTCTTAAGACAAACTGTAAGTCGGGGCCTATATTAGCATGCGTTGGAGGCTATGAACGTACCACCACAGCAAAGGTCACCGTCGTAGACATGACTAGTTTAATGTTATGCTGCTATGTCATTAATTTTTAGATGCAAATTACTCTGTTAATTCAAACCTTATCCATTATATTTAATCAGTGCATACGGAATATATGATTTGGAACAATAAGCACAGCCGACCCGTTTGAGGTAACTAGGGTCTGTAAAACTAAATGGAACATAACCCGTGGAATCTATTCAGACCGAGCTGTGTCGTATACACAGAACGCATAAAATAATGTGTGAAACATATTGATTGAAAAATATGCATCAGTTGGGTTAGTGTTTTAATGAAATAAATGTACACCTGAATCGGTTATAACAAAAAGTATAACATGTATCGATTAAATATAGGAATGTGTTGATTATTACACAGCGATATGGTGGGTAAGTATGGGGGGGGGGGGGGGGGGGGGGCGATGCGATGCAGGCCTTGGGCAGAAGAGAACAGAAGATCCTCGGCATATGAGGTACAAAATGACAGCAAAATACACATTATAATAGCGGATATGTGGTTAGCCGGAAGATTTTACAATTTGCATTACGTATTTACAGAATTTACTAAGGTATTTTAATACAGATATCTCTTTACAAGTGAAAAGTCTTGGAAATTTAATCATATTAGGTCTTTTGGAATATGTAGGTGGGATATACAAAATTCTTTCTTTAGTAAAATATGGACATTTAAAAATATAGTGAAATTCATCTCCAATATATATATATATATATCACTTCTAAGGGAATAAGGAATCCATCGATTACCACATGGATATGGGGTTATTTCTATTAATACCCAGGGGGTATATGATTGGTTGATTGTTTGTTGTTTAACGCCGCACTCAACAATATCAAGGCGGTCTGTAAATAATCGAGCCTGGACCAGACAATCAAGTGATTGGGATATGACATGCACCAACCAAGACTGTAAGCCTGGCCACCAGACCCCCTTAGTCGCCTCCCTTAGTCGCCTTTGGGAGGCCGAAGACCAATTCTAACCCGGATCTTATAGTAGTGGTAGTAGAAGTGGTAGTAAAGTAGCCAAAGATAGGATTATTTTTGTACACGAAAGAATATATATGCACGAAAAGGCATGCAGCCATACATGAACGAGTTGTTTCCCTTTGGAAAAGCGAGCGTCTGCTCTACTTCCGGGTGCGCGCGACAGATAAACATGGCGAGAAATGAGTTGGCAGAGAAGAAATGTTGATGAAGATTACATTCGTTATTCATTACGTTCCGTAGATAAGGTAAGCATGGCAGGATAGCACATAAACAAGTTTGAGATGATTCCATGATTCAAACATCTATGGCTATGTAAAGATCGAAGATATAGATTCAGGAACTAGAGTTGCCTAATTGAAATGATCTCATAGGTCTTACAGTTACAGTTAGCTCATATCTGTCGTGTATGCAGGGTGTTAGGCCACATATGCAAACGCAACTGTACACACACATGTACATAAGGTACATGTGCGCTATGTAACCAAAACGTGATCAAAATGGATAAATTATTAACTTATGGCAATAGTTTCTTTTTGACAATCTTGTAAATATACGTATTAATGAAAACATTGGCGATTATTTTATCCCCCACTTTTTTATCATTTTTGTCATATTTATATTTTTTTTCCATTTTGAAGAAATATTACTATTGGATCTGCAACATCAGTTCATAAAAATGGCCTAAACATATTTTGATCTTAATGCAAAATGAATTCCAATGCTTTTCAATGTCTACATGCTTTATGACTTAAAACATGGTGAAAAGTCCTCTGCTCTGTTCTGCCATACATAATCATGATAACGTGAGAATTGGTCTTCAGCAACCCATGCTTGTCATAAAAGGCGACTAACCAAGATCAGGGTGGTCAGGGTCGCTGACTTGGTTGATGAATGTCATTGAATCCCAATTGCGTAGATCAATGCTCATGATGTCAATCATTGGATTGTGTGGCCCAGACACGATTATTTACAGACTGCTGTGATATAGCTGGAATATTGCTTAGTGCGGCGTTAGACAACAAACAAACAAACAAGTAAACAATGTGTGTTTGACAGTCTGTATGATCTTAAAAACAATTTGAATTGTTTTTAGTAGTAGCAAAGTCAAATATCTAAAAAACGTGACTATGAACATGATGAATTAGAAATATTATAGTAAGAGAATGAAGAAATATTTTACAATGATTAACAGGTTGTCTAATTTTCTTCAGATGATGTTTGGAATGGGAGAGAGCTACTAAGGAAACAACATCATCATGTTCAAAATTGAGTCTTATATTGCCCCATTGTTGTTGGGGTATGTGGACAAGTATGTCAAACTCAGCCAGGAGGATTTCCAGGTTAGTTTGTGGGGAGGGGACGTTGTTCTCAACAACCTTGACCTTCGACTAGATGTCCTTCAAGATGTCCTACAGCTGCCCATCATGTTCAAGAGTGGACATATCCATGAGCTGAGAATACATGTTCCTTGGACAAAGCTTGGATCTGAGCCAGTTGTCATCACGGTCAACACAATAGAGTGTATCCTCAAGGTCAGGGATACTGCATACGGGGATTCCGCCAGTACCAAATCTGGAGAATCTCAGAGGAGGGCATCACAGCAGGCACGAGCAAGAATAAAACCCAAACGACCTGACCCTGCAGACGAGCTACCTCCAGGTTACCTACAAAGCCTGATGAATAGGATAGTAAACAATGTAAATATAATCATGAACAATCTCATTATCAAGTTTGTGGAGGACGACATTGTTCTTTCTATAAATGTCAAATCTGCTGAATGTTACGGAGCCGACATGAATTGGGACAGAGCATTCGTGGACCTCACTGCATCTGATCTCATTCTGCGAAAAGTAATAAACTTTTGTGATCTAACAGTATGTCTGGACAAAACAAACACCAGTGGACGTATTGAGACATACCAAGAACCGATCTTATACCGGTGTTCTGTTTCATGCAGACTCCATATGACATATGATGGTGTTAATGCCAAGCTGCCGCGTGTGACACGATTCAATGTGAGCTGTGAGAAGCTGCATCTGTCCATCTCGGACACCCAGCTGCCCATGTTCCTGAGACTGCTGGAGCTGTGCATTGCCCTGTATTATGGCACCGTGGACTTTGATGTGGAGAAGGAGGAGCAGGAACAGGAGCCGGACCAGCAGGAGGTGGCCAGGAGTAGTGGCAACAACTCAGGTAGGAGCTGCTTGGCATCTAAATATGCTGTTTGTTTGTTGGTTTGTTTGTTGCTTAATGTCAATCTGAAGTATTCCACCTATATGATGGCGGTCTGTAAATAATCGAGCCTGGACTGGACAATCCAGTGGTTGAAATGAGCATTGGTCTATAAACACTGGGATATGATCATGATGATGATGACATGTAAGCAACCAAGTCAACGAGCAGAACCTCCTGACCATATATTTTCTACTTATGACATGCATAGGTTGCTGAAGACCTATATTGTTACCTGTATGGGTATCACCTGTATGTACACATGACGAACGGTGTAATACTCAACATGTCTGAGTCATTATTTCCACCTTTATAATTACTCGAATGTACTGAAGCAATGATTTGTTGTATCATTGTCATCTTCAGTAAGGCAGATGTGAGTCATCTTTAGTAAGGCAGTATATTTAATATGGACATGGTGTATTGTTCCTTTTTCACAAAAGTATCTTTGGACCACAACATTATGAACATGTACAACTGATTAACTCCCATACTTTAACAATTGTTTGAGGCATTTCTTGACGGACGACAAAGTAGACACAATTTATGGATAACAACTTCTTTAATGTACTATTATAGCAACATTTCGGATACATCCCTATACTGTTGTCAAGCAAAACCTGACTTTAAGTTTAACCATGTTGCCATGGTTACCACAGACTGCTGATCATTATGATGCCATGATTGCCAGAACAAGTACAACATGTCACCATGTTCATCCTTTTGTCTCATTTTTCAAATAGACAGTGATTAACATGATTAAAGCTCAAAATCCAAATATATCATGACAGTGTATTAGAAAATCAATATCGTGATTATTCAAAACTAATCAATCTGAGATGATGATGATGATGATAATGATGATGATGATGATGATGGTAGTGAAGAAGAACATGATGATGATGATGGTGATGATAATGGTGATGAAGATTGTAAAACTGTAATGATGATATTGAGCTAGTAATCATGAATCTCAATGCGATCGGCACTGGACAAGTTAGAAGTTATGTATAATTTCTATTTTTTTATGACATGCAGTGTTGATTATTACCAGTATCACTGTGTAGACATGATAAATGTCATGTTCTTTAATGATGATGATGATTATGATTATGATGATGATGATGATGATGATGATGATTATGTTTTGCTGCACCATGTGTAACCTGCAGAACCAAGCCCTGAGTCTGAAGGGAGTCTGTCCGAGACAGATGACGGCTGGATGAACTGGGCATGGTCCTTTGTGCCTCAGATACTGCCCACAGATGAAGAGCAGGAGTATGGGGAGAACAGACCCAGGGGGAAGCCCTCTCCCCCGCTCTTGTCCATAGGATTCTATGTACACCAGGCATCTGTCACATTTAAGGTAGGCGGGTATTCAGTGGTACTTCTCAAAATCTCATTCAAGTTGGCAAGAATAAAGGTCATTATCAATAGGGGAACCACAAACTACTTACTCTCAGCATCACGTGTCAGGGTATTTTTATGGAAAAATTTACATTTGTTCCGTTTTTTTGTTTTATTTTTTGTGCTTAACCATGTTAACATTAGAGGTGAAATGATACATCGATACAAAACGATACACTTGCTCAAAAAAAAAAAGAATAAATACTCATTTAATGACACCCACTCAAGCGGTTTTGTAAGTCAAATAAGCTTTTCAAGTTCACTACTAAAAAAGCCGCTACAAACATGTGTCTACAGCTAGCTGGGGGCACGGGTGGCCCAGTCGTCTAAGGCGCCACGATTCGCTGTGCAGAGTTGCGTCCCTTGGGGACGCCAGAAACCTATGATTGTGGGTTCGAATCCCGGTTCGCCCAAATTATGTTTCTAGGTTTGTCAGCACCATACCCGTGCTTGTGGGTTTCACCGAAGGGATAAACGTCTGGGACCTGCATCACTTCGGGCTTTCCTCCCACATTAAGCTGACATGCCGCGATATAACTGGAATAATGTTAAAAGCGGCGTTAAACCAAACTCACTCACTCACTCACTACAGCTAGCTATTCCTTGGAACCTGCTCTGAAATATTTATAGTCAAGAAGTTTCCATGTGATTTGATGTAAACATGCGTATCGTGATGTGTATTGTATCATGTCCTATGTATCTTGATCATGTTGATACGTATCATATCGTGACCTTGCTGTATGGTTTCACCCCTACTGAACATGCTTGATGCACATTCAAAAGTCCTTAATTTCCTGACCGCCTCCGTGGTCTAGTGGTAGAGCGCCTGCCCGGAGAGCGGTAGGTTGTGGGTCGATCCCCAGCCATGTCATACCAAAAGATGTTAAAAAGATGTTGTTTCCCTGCCTAGTGCTTGGCATTGGGGGTCTGAAACAAGGTCTGGTTGGCTCGGAGCCAGTATACTGTGTCTGAGTGGGGTATTCATGTTAATCAATGTTAATCTGCGGCATAGTTATTATTATCTCAGTGGACTAGCACAATAATATCGGCATTAGTCCGGTCTAGTACAAGCAGCCACACACACACACACATGCTTGCACATCACTACATAAATGCAATCATCTTGGATGTGACGTTAAACCCCATTTCACCTCACCATTTTTCCTTTTTCGATAAAAATCACCTGAAAGAATAAAGTCGTCCACTTCTCTCTTTCACCATGTTCACCATTGGTGACAGCAAAGGCTGTAATCATGGTAATTGGCTGATCACTAAATTCATGATATATATAAATGGGAGAGTCTGTCTTCGACTGTCCAATTGCAAGATTTGCTCTCTTTGCAGCGGAAGACACAAACATTTTTAGTTTAGTTTAGTCCTCATAATGATAACAAATAGCAAAACACTTGAAAATGGCAAATCTCTACTAGTCCTTATGATACCTTAACTATTGGTCAGTTTGACAAGGCCTACAGGACTAGTGCCAATTTCTAACCCTGCTTTCTCCATGTTTCCAATACTTTGTTTCCACTCAAATAGAAGATGTATTTCAAAAGAAAACTGAATACATGTTAATTTTGCAGAGTATTGATCATTTTGATCCCAGGTTGTGTCATATAATGAAATAATGTTGTATTACTGTGTTGTAGTTGACGGAGAAGGTGAAGGAGTCGTCCAGCCAGTATGCCTCTACTGGGAGAATCAACTACCACCCCTTCCTGTATCTGGACTCTGAGGGCCTCTCTGCCGACATCCTGATGCATGGCATTACCTTCTTCGATGCACAGTGTGGGGTCACGACACTGCGTGTGTCCTCTGCGGGCATGTGCATCTGTGGGGTCAAGGACGAGGGAGATCCAAGGGTATGTACCAATTGACCTTGACTATCATTCAGCCTCTCATAGGAATTGTTTTAAGAAAGTTTTTGTGAAATTATCTTTTGATATGTGTGACCTACCACGAGATAAGAGATGATATGAGTGAAATATCACATTTTGACTTTTCATTATATTTTAAAACTACGGCAATCTTCGGAACACAAAAATACAATTCACAAGCTTCAATTCATGTTTAATACCGAGATACATGACATCACACATGACAATCTTCACTAAAGCAAGTGGACGTCAAATGTCTTTATGGTGTCTGACATTAAACCACTGCTCCTTCATCTTTGGTCGGGAATTTAATTACTGGATGGTTAGGTAAACACCACTAGGCAATGACAGAACGTCTTCTTTTCCCTATCATTTACTTTGATTATAGAGCAATTTCATGAAAAAACGTGTGTCTCACTGCCACTGCAACATGAGCTCACTGCCACTGCACCATGAGCTCACTGCCACTGCAACATGAGCTCACTTGCCACTGCAACATGAGGCCACTGCAACATGAGCTCACTGCCACTGCAACATGAGGCCACTGCAACATGAGCTCACTGCCACTGCAACATGAGCTCACTGCCACTGCAACATGAGCTCACTGCCACTACAACATGAGCTCACTGCAACATGAGCTCACTGCCACTGCAACATAAGCTCACTGCGACTGCAACATGAGCTCACTGCCACTGCAACATAGGCTCACTGCAACATGAGCTCACTGCCACTGCAACATAAGCTCACTGCCACTGCAACATGGGCTCACTGCAACATGAGCTCACTGCCACTGCAACATAAGCTCACTGCCACTGCAACATGAGCTCACTGCCACTGCAACATGAGCTCACTGCAACATGAGCTCACTGCCACTGCAACATAAGCTCACTGCCACTGCAACATGAGCTCACTGCCACTTCAACATGAGCTCACTGCCACTGCAACATGAGCTCACTGCCACTACAACATGAGCTCACTGCCACTGCAACATGAGCTCACTGCCACTACAACATGAGCTCACTGCCACTGCAACATGAGCTCACTGCCACTGCAACATGAGAAACAAGAATTAATATGGAGTTGACATTGACATATGTACTAACATCCAAACTAATAGTTTATCAGTTTAGGATAATTTGGAACTGACATATGCTACATCCAAACTAATAGTTTTTAAGTTTAGGATGATTTGGAATTGACACATGCTACATCCAAACTAATAGTTTATCCATTTAGGAACAGGGATGATTGTGATTCATTCAGTATGATATTCCATATCTATTGAATATACATGAGATTTCATAGCTTTTTGTTAAAGTTACTCTTTAGATGATCAGGCCTATGTTTTCTCTTAATAATGATAATATTTAGGTGATTGATAAATTTGCTCTAGTTGGTCTCAAATCAATTGTATATCCAGGATGCATTTGAGCCCAGACTATCTCTTCACTCTCCTGACTTGCCAACATATTCCAAAGTATTATAGACATGCTGTAGACTTTGTGGATATTTTTGTATCAGGGTCTCTATGAGAACTTAAACAAGAAAATGGGCCTTTGTCATAACCATAATGTTAAAATGGTTAAAATAGTGGGTCACTTGTTTCAAATACACTATGTACACTACAAGAAGACATCTAGCACTCCTGGGCCCACTTGCACAAAGCGATCTTAGCGCTAAGATGATCGTAACTCCAATACTTTAACATAGGCTTACGATAGTCTTAGCACTAAGATCGCTTTGTGCAAGTGGGCCCAGGACCACCCCTCTGTCAGTAGAGTAACTCAGTGTTGGAACTGGGTCAACTGTGATGTGATAAGTAGGTCACATCACATCAAGCACTATGAGGTATTATGTTCTGGTCAGCTTACAAGATGGTTACAGGCCAGACAGGCTGCTGGATTGATTACCTACTTGGGCCCTTCTTTTCACCGGGTTTGCAATTCTTTTTCCCAAAGCAATTCAGTTCCATGGGGTATAATAAAAATATTATACATTCTGACATGACAGGGCAAGGTGCCAGGTTTTGGTTGGAGTAACCCTTACTGTCAACTCTGGATTGTTACATGAATTATTGCAGAAGCAATTCCTTCTGCAAAGTAACAAGTTTTGATGGCAGAGTCATCTCGTTACTGTGGTGCAAGATTCTAGAAAAAATGATTGCTTTATTCTAATAAGTTTTTTTGGGTCAACAATGATGAAAATCAGCAATAGAAACTAACAGTTTTCTACTAGTCCTTATAATGGTAACACATAGCAAAACCCTTAAAAATGGCAAATGTCTACTTGTCCTTATGATGCCTTAACTATTGGGCAGTTTGGCAAGGACTATAGGACTAGTGCCAATGTCTATCGCTGAAAATATGTTTCCATCTCAGTACTTTGAGCATGTTGGTTGAAAGGATCTGTAAACCAAATACAAGAAAAGTCCTTGCTGTTTTCCAGAGCATGGTGCTGCTGCAGGCGGGCGAGTCTCTGCTCAACAAGTCCGTGGTGAACTACATCAGTCAGTCCCTGTTTGACCCCAAGTCGGCCGAGAACCAGGGTCAGGCTGCGGAGTTTGTCAGCGATGGGGAGAAACACATGGAGAGATTCACGGAGCAGTTCGGCCTGCAGAAGTATGGAGCATTCTGGTTTGACTATCTGTACTTCATGACAGACATGGAACCTACACACTGTAAGTTGAGTTGCATCGGTTAGTGGTTACCATGGTTACATTCAGGACAGGATGTAGTAGCAGTGGATGGAATCAAGGATGAAAGCTGGGGGTAGCTTGCCGTAATACCACACAAATGTGGGGTCTCTTAGATTAACGCACAGCCCTACAGCTGTAAACAACAAGGAATCTTGGACCTTCGTTTCTTCTGACCGGTTCATTGTGACTCTGTAGTTTTGGAATTAAATGTAGTCGCTGTGATGTTACGAGTGTTGCTTGTGGGAAACATGGGAAAAGTATATGTCGTTAAGTGCATAAAATGATAATTTTGGTATAAAATCTACCTCTAAAAGAAATACAATAGCCATATTCTCCTGTCAATAGGTCAAGGAGACTCCACAAGAATAAACCATTTTTTCAGTGTGGTACATGATTCTGTGTTTTGTTGATAGAGTTACTTCCCTTTGTGCTTTAAGACTTAAAATAGGATTAGCAAAAGCAGATCAAAGATTTGGATAAAAGAAATGTGCACATAATACCCAAGTATTGTGCGTGCGTGCGTGCGTCTGTCTGTCTGTCTGTCTGTGTGTCTGTGTCTGTGTCTGTGTCTGGATCCACCAGTAAACAGTACATGTATTAGTTACACCATGTTAGGTAGCCTGTCTTTGATGCAAGTGTCATAATCTGTTACACACTCTTGTTTTTAACTAAATCTCTGCTTCTGATGTTCTGTGCCAAGCAGCAGGCAGTAAGTCGTCTGTGACAGATGATGGGCATGAGGCTCTGTTCTTCCATGAGACATCCATCATGAAGATTCTGATTGGTCCTTGTCACCTGAACGTCAGCTCGACCTTGTACCACCGGGTGGAGAAGTTCCTCCGCTGTGCCTGGGATCACCAGTATCAACCTTATACATCATCCAAGTCCTGTGAGTACTATTGTCTCTCAGTATCAACCCTATGCTTCATCAAAATCAGGTGAGTAGTTGTCTCTCAGTATCAACCCTATGCTTCATCCAAGTCGTGTGAGTAGTTGTTTCTCAGTATCAACCCTATGCTTCATCCAAGTCGTGTGAGTACTATTGTCTCTCAGTATCAACCCTATGCTTCATCCAAGTCGTGTGAGTAATGTTGTCTCTCAGTATCAACCCTATGCTTCATCAAAATCAGGTGAGTAGTTGTCTCTCAGTATCAACCCTATGCTTCATCCAAGTCGTGTGAGTACTATTGTCTCTCAGTATCAACCCTATGCTTCATCCAAGTCGTGTGAGTAGTTGTCTCTCAGTATCAACCCTATGCTTCATCCAAGTCGTGTGAGTACTATTGTCTCTCAGTATCAACCCTATGCTTCATCCAAGTCGTGTGAGTAATGTTGTCTCTCAGTATCAACCCTATGCTTCATCCAAGTCGTGTGAGTAGTTGTCTCTTTGTATCAACCGTATGCTTCATCCAAATCGTGTTAGTAATATTGTCTCAGTATCAACCCTTTGCTTCATCCAAATCGTGTGAGTAATGTTGTGTCTCAGTATCAACCCTATGCTTCATCCAAGTCGTGTGAGTAATGTTGTCTCTTAGTATCAGCCTAATGCTTCATCCAAATCGTGTGAGTAATATTGTCTCAGTATCAACCCTATGCTTCATCCAAATCGTGTGAGTAATATTGTCTCAGTATCAACCCTATGCTTCATCCAAGTCGTGTGAGTACTATTGTGTCTCAGTCTCAACCCTATACTTCATCCAAGTCGTGTGAGTAATGTTGTCTCTTTGTATCAGCCCTATGCTTCATCCAAGTTGTGTGAGTAATATTGTCTCAGTATCAACCCTATGCTTCATCCAAGTCGTGTGAGTACTATTGTGTCTCAGTATCAACCCTATGCTTCATCCAAGTCGTGTGAGTAATGTTGTCTCTTTGTATCAACCCTATGCTTCATCCAAGTCGTGTGAGTACTATTGTCTCTCAGTATCAACCCTATGCTTCATCCAAGTCGTGTGAGTAATGTTGTCTCTTTGTATCAGCCCTATGCTTCATCCAAGTCGTGTGAGTAATGTTGTCTCTTTGTATCAGCCCTATGCTTCATCCAAGTCGTGTGAGTAATGTTGTCTCTTTGTATCAACCCTATGCTTTATCCAAGTCAGGTGAGTTGGGGACTTGTTTCATAAAGCGATCTTAGTGCTGCCACTGTTGTGAGTCTATGTTAAAGGATAGGGATAATGACGGTCTTAGGGCTACAATTGCTTTGTGGAACGAGGCTCTTGGCTACCATAGGTCCCCAGCACTCCATTGCTTCTCTTAAAAGCAACTAATTTAGATTGCGTGGTCAGGTTGTGAGACTTGGTTTACTGCATAACCTAGCACCACATTTTAATGCATTCCTGGTTAGGAAAGGTCCCCACAAAATGTACAACCCATGCTTGTCGTAAGAGGCAACTATATGGATTAAGTGGTCAGACTTCGTGACTTATTTGATTGCAGATCATTTCATTGGTGTCATTGCTGCCATTATCATGATTATGTGAGGCCAACAATTATGATTATTTGAATCATGGATTCACCTGTATAGAAACTTGAAAAACTCAATATTAAATACCTGGTACATCAGTACACAATTTTCCACATATTTCCCTGATTTCGTTGTTATAATCTGCTGTATCACTGAACCATTCAGACAACTGGCTGTACATAACAAGTCATGCACATGTGTACAGTTCCAACGATACACCAAAGTTTAGTTGAGCTACATTGCCATTTCCATCATATAAGTCTGTTTGCTGACTCGACAATGTAGTTCTGTTATCTTATTTCTCCAGTGACAACAGAGGAAGATCGTCCTGAAGCCACGGAGGAACAGATCAAATCGATGGAGGACTTCATACCCACGCGCACCATGCATGTGATATTGGTACAGCCGTCCATGACGCTGCTGGCGGCTGAGCATGCTCAGTGTGATGTTTCTAGAAAGAGCTACCGACCAGCTCAGAAGAAGGGAAAGGTAAGCATCTCTGCATGTTGTAAACACATTTACAATTAGGGCTGGGATGGGTAACTCGGGTACTCAGGTACTCGGGTCGGTGTGTCTTCAGGAGAACCTGGGTACCCACAGGACTACCCGGACCCGTGGTTAGTCATGTAATGAATTGTTCAAATACAATAAAAAAAAAGTCAACAATGCATTTCTTTCTAACTATGCACGTGTTGTTTCTGACTTTTATACGTGTGAGTAAAGATATAACTTCAGTTGACTTCGGTGAATGCGTGGCTCCATCATGTACGTTATGTACACAACTCTCAGACCTACAATGGGTACCCGGTTCGGGTCAGGTAATAGGGGGTCGAGAACCCGGGTCATAAATTTGGACTCGTCCCAGCCCTATTTATGATCTTATCAAAATCGAATCTCTACTCTGATACAGTACCTCTGTGCATCGTGGAAAATTTGTTTTTGTAGTAAGGAGGACCCACACAGAACACGATTATTCCTTTAATGGTACTCCCTTTTGGGTGTAGATGCCATGTGCTCAGGAACAACTGGGGGTACAAAATATCCACAAAAACACAATGTCATTGCCTTTGTTATGTCCATACGGAACTGGGCAATAAACTTTGTTTTCAGCATACAAAAGTCACATATGCTGGTATAAATGCTTCCCTGGGAATTTACAAACCTCAACACTGATCATTACTGACTGATTGGCTGATTAGAAAGATCGCCTGGCATGATGCAGAGTGATATCATATTACAGTAAAGGGGCTGATTTAATGAGATTGAACACATTATGGATTGGTGGGGTTATAAATGAAATATACCACAACAAGTAGAACTAGCAGGATTTTTGTTACATCTTGACATGTGTGAAACTTTTTCTCATGATGAGTGGGAGTTGTTTAAAGTACGATAAACAACGACCATGAGTTGTTTGTTTCTTTTATGAGATATCAACATAACGTCCAGCCTCTTTAAGGATGTTGATACAATTTACAAGCTTTAAAAATATTTACCCAAATTTTATTAATCATGACACCCTGAATAGAATCTGACCTCGGAAATGTCGGACAAGTCAATTTACGAACATGTGGGTTAAGTTTGGTATTTCCCACATATTTCTCACAATCCTCACGTTGATTATTTGTACCTTTTTTCCAGATACTGATTGTCATATCTCTTCCATTTTTGGATGCTATCGTTTGTGCTGATTTAACCATGTTAACCTTAAAAATTATCTTGCATTGTTTAGTATATGTTATCAAAACTGTCAATGGTTTGATTTTAATGTTAATCCAGGACAGCAAACATGAAATGTTGTATTGTGACAACCTGGTCAAATAATTATGCATTTTTATTTATAATTTATGTTAATTAGAGGCAAATGTTATCAGACTGGTTATGCTATGTTATTTTCACTTAAAATATTTCTGTTTGGAAAATAGAAAATAACTCTCTCTGAAATTATTTCATAACTCCCTTGCTAGAGCAAAAATACTGAAATACAAATTCTTCTGCGTACGATGTACGCTTGATGTGGGTCAAGGGGAAACAATTTTGTAGTTATTGCAGGGTTGCTTCCCCTTACTATGCTCTCTTACATGTTGATATTCTTGATTATCCTTTCATATTAGGACGAAGATAAACAAAATCTAACAGTTTGTTGTTGGAGACGTACAGGTGTACTTGAAATGTTGAGTGTAGTCATAAATGCACAAAAGTATGTGTTTTGTCAAAATGTGTACAATACATTCATGGCTACATGACTATCAAGGACAACAAGCCTGCCTCTGACCAGACCAGCAAGCTTGTCCTTCCTGGGGGTCGGATGTCAGCATCCAGGTTTGACCTGGAGATCACGTCGCCTATGTACCCCCGACGTTTGGTGAGGCTCGTCAGCAACATCGCGGGGCCATCCAGCAACCTCCTTTACCACTGCCACTCACACACAAAGATTAAGGTGAGAAATCTGGGTCCTTCAAATTGATAATAGTTTTTCTTCTGATAATGTTTAAAACTGATAAGCTGGTTTTTTAACAGTATCTTGTCGTTGTATATGACAACAATTTCATTCAAAAGTCATTCAAAAGAGTTCAGTGAATGCAGTTTCACTCTGATTTCGAAAAGGGAGTTGATATCTAACTACTCTGCATATATCAGATGGAATGAGCTTGCTCCTTTGGGAATCAGATATTGTATAACCATATATTGACTGTTTTCGCATGTGTGTTCCAGGTGTTCCAGCTGCATGTGGGGCTGCTGAAGGTGGACCCCTCCGGCACCCCCTCGCACCTCCTGACTCTCGTACCCCCCTGCTGTGGCTCAGTCTACTCCAAGTACCTCCTTCTTCCCAAGTACTGGTGAGTCCTATGTGGAGCTACCCTCATGTCTGAGTTGGTTGGTTGGTTTGTTGTTTAACTCTGCACTCAGCAATATTCCAGCTATATGACAGCGGTCTGTAAATAATCGAGTCTGGACCAGACAATCCAGTGATTAATATCATGAGCATCGATCCACGCAATTGGGATCGATGACATGTATCAACCAAGTCAGCAAGCCTGACCACCCGATCCCGTTAGTTGCCTTTTACGACAAGCATAGTCACCTTTTACGGCAAGTATTGGTTGCTGAAGACCTATTCTACCCCAGAATCTTCACGGGTCTCATGTCTGAGTGGCAATGCATAGCACAGATCCTTTGCACATCTGGGTTAGGGTAGGTCCCCAGTGCCCCGTTGCTGGTTGTAAGAGTTGACTATTTTGGATTGTGTTCAGGCTGCTTGACTTGGCTGATTGGGTGTGTATTCATGGATGAATATTACTGGATGACATGATCTGGCTGATATATTGCCATGTCAGTAATTTATGATTTTGGAAAAATTGAGGACGAAGTAGACTTTATAGTGGTGATGATAGGTGTTGTGTAATAGCCTAGAGTTATGTAGTTCCTGGCCATGATGGTACATCCCTTGTTGTGTAACAGCCTAGAGTTATGTAGTTCCTGGCCATGATGGTACATCCCTTGTTGTGTAACAGCCTAGAGTTATGTAGTTCCTGGTCATGATAGTACATCCCTTGTGTAACAGCCTAGAGTTATGTAGTTCCTGGTCATGATTGTACATCCCTTGTTGTGTAACAGCCTAGAGTTATGTAGTTCCTGGCCATGATAGTACATCCCTTGTTGTGTAACAGCCTAGAGTTATGTAGTTCCTGGCCATGATAGTACATCCCTTGTTGTGTAACAGCCTAGAGTTATGTAGTTCCTGGCCATGATAGTACATCCCTTGTTGTGTAACAGTCTAGAGTTATGTAGTTCCTGGCCATGATAGTACATCCCTTGTTGTGTAACAGCCTAGAGTTATGTAGTTCCTGGCTATGATAGTACATCCCTTGTGTAACAGCCTAGAGTTATGTAGTTCCTGGCCATGATAGTACATCCCTTGTTGTGTAACAGCTTAGAGTTATGTAGTTCCTGGCCATGATAGTACATCCCTTGTTGTGTAACAGCCTAGAGTTATGTAGTTCCTGGCCATGATAGTACATCCCTTGTTCATAACAGCCTAGAGTTATGTAGTTCCTTGTCATGAAAGTTCATCCCTTGTTGTGTAACAGCCTAGAGTTATGTAGTTCCTGGCCATGATAGTACATCCCTTGTTGTGTAACAGCCTAGAGTTATGTAGTTCCTGGTCATGATAGTATATCCTTTGTTGTGCGAGGGTGAGATTCGTGTTTGCACTGACCGTGCTGAAGGATTTACCTGGATTATTCCACAGGACCAACACCTACCTGCCGCTGACGGAGTGGATGTCCGAGATGCCACAGCTCTCCATCAACCTCACCAAGGCCAGTGTGCTGCTGATGGTCAAGATCACATCTTCATGGTTACATAAGGATCCACAACCTGGACAGTTTACAGAAGACAGTCTCCTCACCGACATGTTCCCCGAGTCAGGTAATATAGAACTAAAACAAGGCTCATCTTGTTAGCATGGTTAGGGTACTGGACAAAGTGGTATCAAAATAATCTTTTAATAACATACCATTTGGATAGTTTCAATCCAACAGCTCTTCATATCTTAAGGTTAAAAGGCAAGTAAAGTGGAAAAAATGAATGTGATTTTGTTGCAAAAATCAATTGTCACAGATATGTTAAATCAATTCCTAATATTCGTAGAAAGTATTTTAATGTCCATGTAAAAGTCCTGTTTCGTACTGGTCCTTGTTTTTAATCGTCTTTACACTATTTCTGATTTTCAAATTTAATTTTGGTCAAGTATTTGTGGTTAAATATGACCTAAAGTATTAAAATCTTCGAAGATGATAATGCAGACTGTGTCTTTAGTTAGCATGATAATGCAGCCTGTGTCTTTTAAATCTTCTGCTGGGATTCTGGGGATGAATCATTGTGCATTATTAAGTCTGAGAAGCATTTTCTCAGTGTTCAGGCATAGAGAATAGAGAAGTGGATAGAGGACCTTGCTATTGTTACTTGAAGTAAATACTTGCCTAGTTAATAGTTCTATATAGGAAAATGCTAAAGTCGTTCTGAGGAATTCTGACAAGATCTGGAAGATGCTGTTGTTTGTTCAGACCAGGATAGGACCCCGTCTCAGCCAGTGTTGGAGATTGTTGTGAGTGGGTGTGAGATGAAGTGTTGTTCCACGGCCATTGTAGACGCCTACACCAGCAGTGTCACGTCCGCACAGTTCGTACTCTACTTGAAAGGTAAACCGTTACTTCATTGTGTATATCGCAAAATAATGTTTCACATGAAAATAAGATGAAGTGTGTATTGCTCCCCCTGAAGCAGCTGTGTGTTGAGCATCTTAGGATGAAGTAGAATTCAGGTTGTTGATAGAAGCAAATGAAATCTTTGGGTAGTCATAATTAGTCCCTATGATGGGAAAAGAACATGAAGTTGATTTGAAGATGTTGAAATATTAATCATAGTTTATTTTGGAACAATTATTCCATGACTGACAATAAATGTGTATGATACATGTGCTTTCCTTTTGCATGTTCTGTTGAGATTGTATAGCATAATGACTCTGGATTGTATTTCTATGATATGATGATATATGAGTGCCATTATTATTCAATTTTCAGATCCAGTGAGCAAGTCCAACAGAGTTGCTCCCATCTTCACAGGGCCGGCTGACACAGGGAGCCTGCATGTTAAGACCTTCTTTGTACAGGAGGTGTGTCGTAAGGATGTGCTGGGGGATTGTCTCAACTTCACAGTGCAGCTGCCCAAAAAGAGGAATGTGTCGGAAGGTCTGCATTGTCCACCACGATGTATTATTATCATTATTGTTTTGTTTTTTCTTTTGTTCATACACTTTTATGGTACATTTAAATATTATTGCAAATAGCCCATCTATTGAATTGGTGGATTATATTGATTTTACCATATCCTGACTCATACTAATTGCTTGTCTCATCTCATTCTGATATTGGCCAAAAAGGTAGTAGAAACTTCTCTGCTGTGTTCGCTAGAACAAGGAAAAACTTCTCCCCTAAATGCACCCGCCACCTTCACGAAGCCCAGATTGTTACCCCCAGCGGGTTCTACAAAGACGTCCAAGAAGGCAGCCACGAAGTCGACTTAAAAGTCGTAGAAGCATGCTTCTAACACACAGGTGCTGAATTCCACGTGGCTCCTGCCACTAGTGAACCTTTCTCAGGTTTCACGCAGGCAGAACAGCATGCAGGACCAGGCCTTCACACAGACTCTGACGTTCACTGAGATGCAGGCCTTCACGCTGCCTCAGACCTCCTCTCCATCCCTGCTGCAGCATTTACTCAGACACAGTCGTTCTTGCAGCCTCCCACATTCAGGCAACCTGTCTTTTACCATGCCTCCTTCATCCAATGACATGTCTCACCATTCTGCTAGGATGTGTTTAGGAAGACGGACTTACACTGTTATGTTGTCAAGGGTTGGTTTCTAACTCTAACTGTTCGGGCCTGTACACAAGGCCTCTCTTACTCTTGGGATCCCCTTTCTATCTTCAACAATCAGATCTGTGGCGTCAGTAAAGAAGTCGTACAGGATTTCAAGGCCCAGATGTTAATTAAATCTGTCCGAACCATGAACTCTATGTTCAAACTGACCAACTTTATGAGCAATTTCTCAGGAATACAGAAAGCTAAAGACAAGAAATTCTCCGGCTACAGAGGAGGAAAGCTGGCGTCTTTTCCATGCCATATATTATAGCTGCATTAGATTTGACATCAGCCCATCTTGGTAACTCGCTGTTGGGATTTTTTCGCAAAGAATCAACTGCCAGGTCAACCAGACAGACAGTTTCACATTTCACCTTTATCATCTATACTTGGTTTGAAGATATGGAAGATTTATCACTGTCCAGTCAGAGCCTTACGTATTCCAGACATCAAAATTTAAGACGTCATCCTGTCAACTATAAACACTACAGCTGATGTTTCTAGAATTACTCTCTCCTTCTGTATGAGAGCAGTCATACTTTGAGCCTACAGAGATGCCAGTTTAGACCCTCCCTCGGCTTCCAATCCTGCACAAGGTCAGAGCTCTCGCTTCCACTTAGCGCTCCATGGCAACTGCTCAAGTCTATAAAGGGAGGATGTTTCTGGAAATCGGACACAGGCTATGCCAACCACTACCTCCGAGACTTCGTTGCAGAAGATATTGCAGGAATTCACCAATTCGGACGCTTAGTGGTCGCTCAACAATTGAGAATACCTAATTTAAGACCTTTTCAGAATATGAGATAAGATAAGCAATAGGTATGTGTCTTGTAAATTATAAGTGATATTTTTACCTGAGAAAACACATTATCACCCTTTCAAACAGTCCATATATATAATAATTTTTTAATTTTTTTGCCAAATAGGAGTTGTCTGAACGTTATTATATACATAATATATTCTATTTGTTCAGCTCCTGCAGTGATCTTGCTGAACTTGGAGGGCTGTGTGGCGTGCATGGACCCTGCCTTGTTTGACTGGCTGATGTACGTCCCTCGGTCTCGCCACTCCCTGTCAGCCTCGCGGCGGGAGGACAGCATCACTGTAGATCTGGCCCTGGCTCAGGCGGCATCTCCTCTACAAGCCAATATGTCTCAGGGTGTGTATGTGCAGGGAATGTCTTAATCTTGACATCTCAACACTTCTTTGTGGGGTTGGGTGTGCAGTGGGTTCTTAGTCTGTAACTTGTGTTTGGGATTGATTACTGTATGTATATTTGTGCTTACTTATACTACTGTGCATCTGTCAACAACTGCAGCCAGTCTATCAATAGAGGCAAGTACTGATCAGCATAATAATGGTCTAGTCTAGCACTGGGGACAGCCTTGACTAATACTGATAATGGTCTGGATTAGTGCTGCTGATGGTCTACGCTTGTACTGGTGATGGTCTAGTACTTATAATGATGATCTGGTACTGATAATGATGATCTAGTACTGATAATGATGATGATCTAGTACTGATAATGATGATGATCTAGATCTGATAATGATGATGATGTAGTACTGATAATGATGATGATCTAGTTCTGATAATGATGATCTGGTACTGATAATGATAATGATCTAGTACTGATAATGATGATCTGGTACTGATAATGATAATGATCTAGTACTGATAATGATGATCTAGTACTGATAATGATGATGATCTTGTACTTATAATGAGGATGATCTAGTACTGATAATGATGATGATCTAGTACTGATAATGAGGATGATCTAGTACTGATAATGATGATGATCTAGTACTGATAATGATGATGATCTAGTACTGATAATGATGATGATCTAGTTCTGATAATGATGATGATGTAGTACTGATAATGATGATGATCTAGTTCTGATAATGATGATCTGGTACTGATAATGATAATGATCTAGTACTGATAATGATGATCTGGTACTGATAATGATAATGATCTAGTACTGATAATGATGATCTAGTACTGATAATGATGATGATCTTGTACTTATAATGAGGATGATCTAGTACTGATAATGATGATGATCTAGTACTGATAATGAGGATGATCTAGTACTGATAATGATGATGATCTAGTACTGATAATGATGATGATCTAATACTGATAATGATGATGATCTAGAACTGATTATGATGATGATCTAGTACTGATGAGGATGATCTAGTACTGATAATGAAGATGATCTAGAACTGATAATGAGGATGATCTAGTACTGATAATGATGATGATCTAGTACTGATAATGGTGATGATCTAGTACTGATAATGATGATGATCTAGAACTGATTATGATGATGATCCTGTACTGATAATGAGGATGATCTTGTACTGATAATGATGATGATCTAGTACTGATAATGATGATGATCTAGTACTGATAATGATGACGATCATGTACTGATAATGATGATGATGATCTTGTACTGATTATTATGATGATCTTGTACTGATAATGATGATCTAGTACTGATAATGATGATGATCTAGTACTGATAATGATGATGATGATCTAGTACTGATAATGAGGATGATCTAGTACTGATAATGATGATGATCTAGTACTGATAATGATGATGATCTAATACTGATAATGATGATGATCTAGTACTGATAATGATGATGATCTCATACTGATAATGATGATGATCTAGTACTGATAATGATGATGATCTAGTACTGATAATGATGATGATCTAGTACTGATAATGATGATGATCCTGTACTGATAATGAGGATGATCTAGTACTGATAATGATGATGATCTAGTACTGATAATGATGATGATCCTGTACTGATAATGAGGATGATCTAGTACTGATAATGATGATGATCTAATACTGATAATGATGATGATCTAGTACTGATAATGATGACGATCTAGTACTGATAATGATGATGATCTTGTACTGATAATGAGGATGATCTAGTTCTGATAATGATGATGATCTTGTACTGATAATGAGGATGATCTAGTTCTGATAATGAGGATGATCTAGTACTGATAATGATGATGATCTTGTACTGATAATGATGATGATCTAGTTCTGATAATGATGATGATCTTGTACTGATAATGATGATGATCTTGTTCTGATAATGAGGATGATCTAGTTCTGATAATGATCTACACTAGTACTGATAATGGTCTGATAACCTTTAATTTTCCTCTCAGTTTCAGTACATTCCAGTAGTTCACTGACCAACCCCACAGGCTCGCGACCTTTGACCCAGTCCCATACACACACAGCCTCCCAGCTTCTGTCCCCGAGAGAGATGGACGAGGACGCAGCTGGGGGGAGAGGGTCACCGAGACAACAGGGCATCGCAGAGAAAATGGCAGAGTTGTTCCCCTTGATCAAGATGCTGCACATTCAGGCAAGTATTATTTGGCTAATACGTTTATTATAACAGGACTTTGTGGTAGTGTAGCTTAGTTTGTTTGCAAGGAGTATGTTTAGTCAGGTATTTATAACTGATCAAACGAAGTGCCCTTGGCTGGCAAATTTAAAAAAAAGTTGTTTTATTTGGCCTAAAAACATGAAAAAAATTATAGTCTTGGTTCTCAGGCACTGCCCGCATGACCATTAAGTCTGCTGCACATTTCGTTTGTATTTCTATTTTCAAAAAAGTAAGAAAAATCTTTAATATTCTCCTGAAGAACAATATGATTTCTCTGAAAATAATTGTTAACAAAATTTGGTTACATACTAGCTTAAACAACTAAAAAATAAAAAAAACTTCCTGCTCTATATTTTCAAAAGCCATTGCCTGAGAACCAATTCTTTTATTTTGAAAGCCTTAAAGATCTTATGTTCTTGAGTTAGAGGTGTGTTAATGTTACCTTCCAAACTATAATGTACAATACAGCCTCTTCCTCTTCATTGTTCCTGATTCCTGTTATCAGTGAAATACCAGTCACCTCTACAAAGATATGAGGGGCTTTACTGACATGAAATGGGAAACTTCCAATTGCAAATCAGATTTTTTACTGACGTTTGCTGCAGACTTACGGCCGAATATCGGCCTCTGAGGAGGTCTACATTAATCCCTGAGTTTGGCACAAATACGTTCACATGGTTTGCTACAGTCTGGAACTCTGAAATGACTCTTACAGGTTGAGATTAGAAGCAGCTGTATATTTCTCCCTGACGTTTCCATGGCGATGTTGGAACCAAGCATGGACATTCCAGTCAACTTTCACTCAGCATTCCAAGACGGCAGCGTCCCAAACACCCTGGTAGTGTGTCTCCCCTCCATGGTCGTCAGCAGCTCCGGCGCCAAGCCGATGTCAGTAGTGCAGGAGATTCCCATCACCACACTGGATGGCTCCCTCATAGGTAGGGGTGTTGTGCATGAGTCATAAGTGACAATATATAGTCTTTGTTGATTGTATACCGGTCAAGGTCGCTCTGATAAATATATAGAGAATCTCGCCCAAGTGTGTTTTAATATCGACTTCTAGTGTCTTACGGGCAGCTTGGGTTGTATACTCCCCAGGGAGCTGAGAATGAAAATCAAGTGCTCACTGATCCATTGGCCTGGGTAATAATGGTGTAGCGCCATGAGAATCCACTTGGTGAATGGAATCTGGTGCATTATAAATGCACTTATATAACTGCCGTGATATAACTGGAATAATGTTAAAAGAGGCGCTAAACCCAACTCACTCACTCACTCACTCTTATGCACTTGTCAAAACAAGATTAATATTAACCTGAAATTTGTGAATATTTGGACAGAATGTAATGCACATGTATTAGATTTATTGGATTATGTGTGTGTCAATCAGGAGACAAGTTGCCATGGTCCGTGAAGCTGGAGAAACTCACAGTGTATTCCCTTCACAAGGAGAAGACAACTCTGTCTCTCTTCAAACCTCTCAATGTAGCATCAACTGTGGCCGTGACGTGCAAGTACACCCCTCCAACATCAGACAACATCACTGCCCTTGGGCTCTGCCTCCACATTGATATGCAGCCCCCAACAATAGCAGTGTCCAAAATACAGGTGATTCCACAAACTTGTTGCTGTGTGGATATTTAATACGCTCAGACCTGTTTTCTGGCGCCATATGTTTAATTGTAAATATGTTACAGTAGAACACGGATATAACGAACACGGATAGAGCGAACAAACAGATACAACGAACTGTTAAAAAATCCCCGATTTACATAATATATAACATGTATGTATGTAACGAATTCTCTACAGCAAACTAACGGATACAGTGAACTGATATTTGATCACTGACAAGCCCATCTACCACTAATTAGTGATAGTGTATAGCGAACTAAGAAATCTCACTCAATGTCAAGTGTCACTGACAATTGGCTGTACGCAGTCAGTGGTGAATCAACATAATCGCAGCGAATCAACACAATCAGCGGTTACGGATAAACCTTGTTAAACTTAAATGAATGTTATGAAATGTTATCAATTGAATGCTATGAAGTGATCACTGCGGCTACACGTCAATGTTTCAGTTACGTGTATTGTGATTTGTTTTATCCAAGATGGCGGACGTATCCGAGCGAAAACGTGTATAACGAACAACGGATATAACAAACTCAATTCTCTGGTCCCCTGTAGTTCGTTATATCCATGTTCTACTGTATTTAACATATACTTTTCAAGGGTTTTCTTTCAGGAAATTTACTGCAAATCAACCATTTAAATGTTTATTTGTCTACTGACTTGTGATCAGGGTCAAATTTTGCCACTTTTCATTAATCAATTTTGATTGAATTAATAAGTGCAAGTCATTAAAGTTTTGAATCATTTTGCCACTAAGGTAATAATGATATACCGATGCACTTCTTTATAATTACAATTCATTTTGCTCAATACAAGATGATTTATGGAACCATTTTGGAATTAATTTTATGCATGACTTTTCAAGAGTGTAGAAAATGAAAAGGCACAATACGAAAATAGAATCATATGCAAATCAAGATGCTTAATATGTTTCCTGGAAAACAAGCCATAGCCGCTTCTGTCATTATGTTGTTTATGTTAATAAAATAATGAACATATTTTCTCTGAATGTGCACTTAGAGTTACTTCCCTTTTACAAACTTGTCATCGTGTTTCCACATTTGATTCATATTGCACAGCTAATGTGTATTGTAATTTGATCTGGTAATATGCATCCCTACTTTTCACAGACCCAGCTGTGCATGTCTGTGATCCAGAAGACGCTGATGCTGGTCAGCAAAGGGACAGCATTTTGCTTCCACCTGTGGAAGATGCTCCAGCCTCAGAAAGATGTACCTGTTGCTCAGCCGATCTCCAGCTCTCCTGACAAGAAGGTGGCGAGTTCATTGTCATATGACAATGATGTTGTGATAACTGACCAATCAGAAGACATCTCGCGAGAAGAGAGCAGCCCTGTGCACGAGGCAGTAGGGGAGGACTCAAGTAGTTCCCCAGGGGTGAAGTTATCACTGTGGACACAGCTCCTGGTGCCCAGATTTGAGGTTAAGCTCTATGGAAAAGAGAAACTATCAACATCAGGTAGGGCCAATGTTACTTTTATTCACATGTTTGTCTTTTTATTTGGTTAAAATATTGGTGGTTTGGCATGAAATACAGTCAGAATACAGTTCAGTCAGAATACTAGCTTGTTACACCAAACATATATGTGTTTGTATATTTTAGTTTATATTTCGAAGCCTGTTTCTGTTTGAAGACCAAAATGTTTTTCCTAAATTCTGTTTACATGCCAGGAATGTTTTTTGACAGAGACCTGTCTGACGGTTGTGGCTGAAGATGTAGCAACCTCCATCGACATCCAGCAGGTATATTCCAAGGTCAAGGCTACAATGGGGTCATTCAACATAAACCATCTACAGAAAAGGTACCACACAGCAGTAGTAGATAAGAAACACAATACATGTTAATTCACTGTGCAGAGGTGTGTCCCTTTGATCGTGGGTTCAAGTTTTGTCCCGAATATGTTCCTAGGTTTGTCTGCACCATATCTATGCTTGTGGGTTTCACCAAAGTGGTAAACGTCTGAGACCTCTATCACTTGTGTTTCTCTCTCTCTCTCTCTCTCTCTCTCTCTCTCTCTCTCACTCTCTCTCTCTCTCTCTCTCTCTCTCTCTCTCTCTCTCTCTCTCTCTCTCTCTCACTCTCACGCACTCACTCACTCTCTGACAAACCTAAGAACAAACGGGGCGAACTGGGATTTGAACCCATAATCATAGATTTCTGGCATGCCCAAGGGACGCAATTCTGGCAAAGAATAGACATGTTAGTAGTGAATGGATATATGCCGACCAGACATGCAATCATTTCAAATAGTTTGCTGTCATTACTTAACACCTATATTGGTGATGAATCTATTTAAATTTAAGACTGAGAACTATTTATAATTGTTATTGTAAGATTAACACATGATCATGGATGTTACAGACAAGATAGGCCATGGGAGAAGGGCGCATGTGAAGGCATCCTGATGTCCTGTCGCGGTGAGCTTCCCCGGGATACTCTGATTGTCAGTAACAAGCTGTGGACATCGGACAGCCAGCCTGTTGTCCCTCTGTTCCCGTCGTCTGAAGGCATGCAGAGGGAGCAGACCAGTGGCTTCCTCACGTTCACCTTCACCAGAGCTTTGTGTAAAAACGTGTCCAAGAAGATGAAGAAGATGAACATTGAGCTGTCCGATTTGACAGAAAATGAAACCGAATCCTCATTTGATGAGCTCTATTTTCACGATTATATATCCGAAGTTTGTTTGAAGACCGATCCATGTGATGTTGTGTTGTATCTACCTGTTTTTGAAACTCTGGTTGATATATTTGATTTTGGAAGTCCGAGTCCAGATATGGCTCTCACAAAGTCGGCAAGTCAGAGGCTGGTTTATGCTCACAGCCACCACAGAAAGAATCAGTCACCACCTTTTTTCTCAGCAGGTAGCCTCCCTTTGATTTATGCAAATATTGGCAGTGTCAGGGTCATACTGCCTGACCCTGATGGAGGCCATCTTGAAATGGGACAGGACAAGACAGGAAGTGACAAATTGAATGATGGGACAGACAAGAATGAATCTGGAGATGATTCAGGAAAGTGTAAACGGTTAAAAACTACTCTTGACCATGATATGATAGTTGCTCAGCTACATTCCATAACGGTGCAGCCAAGGGCAGACAACCCACTCCCCCGAGAAGCAGTAGAGAAGGACTTGTATCACCGAGCTCTTCACTCTGGCATTGCACAGTACCCTGGCAGTGCGGTGGAGGACCGACAGTACCAGGCAGACTTCAAGGGATTCTCTCTGTGTACAGGTATTAAATACATGGTACTATTTAATACGCAGGTCTGGAGTACACACGTGTACTTGAATCCTTCTATGGGACAAAAAATATACTGTTGCTTCTTTAGTGATAAATCGAGTATTCAAATGTTAATTGATGTACAGTTAGCTGGTTTGACACCTATCGGAAAAGGTGTTTTAATTTTTTTATTACTTACTAGCATGACTACAATTTTAGGAACATACCGGTATTTCAAAGGGCGGGGGATATTAATGTCTTCATGTTCAATTTGTTTTGTTGTCATGATTCCGCAAGAATGTTCCTGACTTGGTTATAAAACAGCAAAAAAGGGTTATGCAAGACTTTCATCACCAGAACTTGCTTGATGTGCTCACATTGCCATGTCCAGGTTGTTGGGGGGACCTTGTGCGAGAGTCGAAGCGTGTGGAGAAATACAAGCCTCCAGTCAGCCCAGGTGTACAGATACCTGCCCTTGAGTGGAACACATTCCTGGCACTACAGCAGTGAGTTATCCTGTATATTCCCTGGTGGCTCATAGATAAATGTCATTATTCCACATTTTTTGTATGCTGCATGTTCTGCAATCCTCCATGAACACATACGACATTTGCTGGTGTATAAGGTGTAGTGGAGAGGAACCTGAATGTCTATTTTTAGTCTGCTAATAAACGAGATGAACTGAGACCAATTCAAAATTCATGGAAGTCAAATGAGTCCTACTATGTGCATGACCTTTGTGAGAACCCTATCGTTGCCTGAACTTGCAGTAATGTATAGAGCAGATGGGCACGAGGCTGTTGCACATTACAAGGGAATATTGCTTTTTGTGATGTAATCTGAGTATTTATTGCTCCAGTGTTTCCGCTGGCTTTTGAAATTGCCAGTCCTGGAACTCTAAAAATGACCCGTCCCCCCAGGTCGTGTCTTGATTTGTTGGTTAAAATAACAACTACACTGTGAATTGTATTCACATGTGATGCAGGAACATAGTGTATACAAGCCGGTGAAGTTTTGAGGATGTGTCATAACTTGTGCAAGGATTTATAAACTCATAAAACACATTAGGGACTGACCTGTCTAAGCCATGTTAATGTGTAATTTTCCTGTTGTCTGACTCTTGGCTTTAGGTGTCATTTGTGAAAAGCTGGTGGGGAATTTCAGGTTCTAAAGTGTGATTGATATTTTAATTATTGGGATATTACAGTTATGTATTTTTCACCATTATTTTAGAGAAGAAAGGGAAGAGGTCCGTCTGATCCCCATGGCAACAGCCTTTGACTTGTGTCTCGTCATGGCACCTGCCATTGTCTACAGCAGGAAGGATCCTGCCGAAAATCTGAAAAAGGTAAATGTAATTATTTAAAAAAAATATGTCCGAGTTTTTACTAGTTTTGTACATACCACTAACCATTATTATTTGAGTGACAGTGATGAATTTATCTTAGAGGAGTCATCATGATCATATGACGAAGTCTGAACATGGCCGATCTTGTTTATAATTACATCCTTTTTGCGATTTTCAGCACCATGCTTTTTTTGTGTTTTAAATTATTGTTTTATTTTTCAGTATGTCCTTGTCTGTGGGTATGCTGCTGAGATGAATGTCACAAGTGACCTTGACCTTTATCTCAGTACCAACCAAATTCACTTTATGTCAGAGTTTGCAAGAAAGAGTATGACACACCTCTCTGGCAAATCAGAAAAAGTCACAGCAAAATCCACTGGTACTGGGAGGTCAAGGTCATCAGGACGTGCCCAAGAGCACCATGGGATAGATAGCGGTGTTGAAAGTGACATCTCAACAGTGACTGCAGACAAACCGAGACATGTCAAATCTGCATCTTCATCAAAGGTGGTCACCCCAGTTGACCTTGGTCTTGGGTCAAAGGTCATGCCATTCCATATTCTCCTAACAGCAGGACGCATTTCATGCACTGTGTATACCCATAATACTTTGAAAGATGACAGTTTGCATGCAGCAAGTAAAGATGAGAAGCATAAAAAAGCTGTTCACAAATCTAAGTCTGCTGCAACACTGAAAGGAGATAACCTTGAACATTTAACAAGCAACATCTCGTCACCAGACAGTGACGAGTCGTATCTGCAACAGTATGACACTTGCTCTGACTTTGAGTTTATGCACATAAACAATGATGGCGACCTGGCCAAGAAGGTGGTGGCACCTGGAACTGTGTGTTTGAAACCATTTCTCTACCTGTACTTTGCTCAACCTCACACGATCATCTCCTGTCTGACGTCCAGTCAGAGGTTTGAGATGTCGTGTTACGACATCATCGTGAAGGGACCAACCAGCCAATCAGTCATTCCAGGTAGGGTATGATAGCAGTTTCAGTGAAATCAGATCTTGTACTCTGACACGATACCTCTCTGTGTGAAAATCTGACATACGCTCTATAGAACTTCCCGTCAGCTAAAATTTCTGATCAGCTAATCAGCGTCAAGGATCCAAATTCTTGATAAGGATGGTTTTAGAAACCTGACATACGATTGGCTGAAGAACTCACACATCCTTTATTTAGATTGGACAGTCCAAGTTCGCTCAGGGCTCATCTGACAGAAACGCCTTGTCAAAGAAAAATAACTTATCAGAGTCAAAGATTATAATGAATAAAATTTCAAGGCCAAAACTTCACACATATTGAGATAACTAGCAGAGTGTGTTTTTGTATTGTAAATTAATGTGTGATATATGAGGAATGACAAAATTATTACGGTATGCTAGCTTCTGGCAAGTGTAACACATATTTTGTGTTTCTAATATATCCTATTTACAATTGGTAAACACACAAGGGTAGTAATCTCTTATGATGCATATCTTGTATGATGATAATCTTTAAATAATCAAAGTGCAAGACATATTTTCATTAAATAACTTTTGAAATTGCATAGGAATACAATGATATGAATGAACCATTCTATTCATAATAATATGACAAAAGATTTGAAGCTATGTTGATTTCCACAAAGTCACACGTACAGAAACCTCTATATAACATGATATAAAACTGTATGCAAAGAATTTGAGCCAGTACACTTTGGATTGCAGTTCCTCCGTATGACCTCATTTGATGGTTTATCAGAGCGTGATACCAAAGTTCATTGACTTTGTTTGTCACATTGGTAACACTAACTATTATGTGATTGAATTATTGTTTTTTCTGTATAAGAAGGGTTTTACTGTGCACTGTCAGATATAATCTTTTATAAGGGCTTGCCATGTGTACCCTTCTCTTAATTTGGCTTGTAATCCCCAGTGCCGCTATATTGACAGCGTGAGCAGTGTCATTTGTACGCTTTGTACACTGCTTACTGCTTACTGGTCCAGAGTGATTGTAGTGCTACAACCTTCATAACTTCATAACCCGTGAAGATCCGGGGTAGAATTGGTCCTCAGCAACCCATTTTTGCCGTAAGAGGTGATTACCGGTATGCTTGTTGTATGAAGCGACTAGTGAGATCGGGTGGTCAGGGTCGCTGACTTGGTTGATGCATGTCATCGTATCCCAATTGCGTGGGTCGATGCTCAAAAGTTCAATCACTGGATTGTCTGTTCCAGACCCAATTATTTACAGACCGCCATCTTATAGCTGGAATATTGCTGAGTGCAGCATTAAACAGACAAACAAACAAACAAACAAAGTCTTCAGTAGTCATAGCAACAATCAGGATGACACAATGTCTTGGGAACTACATGTATGCTCATCTGTGTGGCATCCTACTCCCTCAATGTGGATCGATCAGCATCTTTGAGAGCTGACAGGATGCCGTGATGATTTGATATTACTGCAGTCAGTTGTAGAACCTCTTCTTGTGTGTTGACAGTTGACGAGCACCGCCTGCTGCCTGATTGTTCAGACTTCAGCAGTTACTGGATTGAATCAAGGGCGGGGCAGCCACACCCCAAAACAGGCATCCCCCCGAGTCTCTACACCCTGCAGATCACCGACTTCCTGCAACAACCAGGTACAGGCTCAGATTTAAGAAAATATTTTGTTTTCAATTTTGATGTGGTTATAAAACTTGAAACAAGAATATTAGTTTTTTATATAAATATTTTCTTTCTCAAACGTTTCATCATTATGTTTTCACCTCCATTTACAGCATGTGTGACCTTGAAGCTAGAGCGTCCTATCAAAGTCAACCTGAGCCTGAATAAGGTAGATCAAATCCTGGACTTTGTTGAGGAGGTAACCACAACCTCATCTCCGTCCAGCCAGCACAGGGAGTCGCCCAGGGCAGACGTGGTGATGGAGGTGACGTCATCACACTCCAGTCCAGGTACATGTTATGAAAACTTTATTCAGGTCTCTTCATCAGCTGTTTCTAGGACTTTGATCCTGACCCACTTTGAAGCATATGTTTGTTTGTTTGTTTGTTGTTTAATGCCTCACTCAGCAATATATCAGCTATATGACAGTGGTCTGTAAATAATTGAGTCTGGACTAGACAATCCAGTGATTGACATCATGAGCATTGATCCACCCCATTGGAAAACGATGACATGTATGAACCAAGTCCTTATCAACACCTGATCCCGTTAGTCGCCTCTTATGACAAGCATTGTCGCCTTTTACGGCAAGCATGGGTTGCTGAAGATCTATTCCACCCCGGATCTTCACGGGTTCTGAAGCATATGTAGACAGGTAGTTTGTCCTCAGGCAAGGTTTGAAATGTGAAATTGCCTTTGTTCACCTAGCAGTGAATTAAACCCAGTAGGAGGAGATGGTAATGTGACTGTTGAAGGCCTCACAGGCCAATTGGGTGGTATCCTCCCCAGGGAGATGAGAATGACAGAGTGAAAACTGATCCATACACCAGGGTAATAATAATGTAGAAGTGCCTGTGAGAAGCTGAGCTGGAACTTGGCACTCTATAAATAGATTATTTGGTTATTAGAATGCTTTAAAACTTCTACAAATCTAGATCTGCATGACAATTGAATTAGAACTGTTTTCCCAAATAATTTTGTGACATGTCATTATTTCTGTTTTGTGCAGTCGCTATATGGCTGAAATAATGCTGATGCGGTATTAAATTTGAACTCACTGTTTAGTGCATTATCACTGTTATACTTGCCGGCATGATGTCATTGATCTCACACCCTCTGGTGGGTGCAACCCCAGGTAGTTCCTGACTGATGTGACCGCCTCCATGGTCTAGTGGTAGAGCGTCTGCCCGCAGAGCGGAAGGTCCGGGGTTCGATCCCTGGCCGTGTCATACCAAACGACGTTAAAAGATGGTACTTGTTGTTACCCTCTCTGGCGCTTGGCATTAAGTCCTTGGCTAAAACAAGGATTGGTCGGCTAGCACTATAAATCGGTATCAGTCCAATTTAGTACAAGCAGCCACACAAACACACACACATACATGCACGTCGCTATATAAGTGCAATAATCTTGGACGCGACGTTAAACCCCATTTCACCTCACTTTTCACCTCCTGACTGATGTTTAGATTGTTCTTCCACTTCTCAATAATAGTAATGACTTCGACATTGTTGAATAATTCAGGTATATTCTCAAGCCTGGATCACTTGGAGTTTATGACAGATCAAATAGTGGTTGCCGTGGAGACGGTTCCTGATGATCATTCTCCTGGAGTCATGATATCCACCTCCTCACTTCGGGTGATCACGGAGTTCCAACAGGCCAAACATGGTGAGTTGGAGATTGTTCGTCCTGTCGTTTGATAATTATAGAAAATTGATTCTGTACCGATAACTGATATAGTCCACTATATTCATTTGCTGACTATTTTATTTTGACAAACAAGAGCATGTAATGTAATTCTGCTTTCTACATGTCTTCCATACAATCATACTTTATGAAATTATGAAAGCCATTGTTACAAAAGAGTTTGATAATGTTTCAGGTTTGTTTAGAATTAGGCATTACTACGGATGACAAAGTAGACACAATTTATGGATAACAACTTCTTTATTTACTGTAAAGACGATGTTTCGGTATAGATCTTCATACCATTGTCAAGCAAGGCTGAAAGTTGGGTCTTGGCCTTGTTTTTGGATGACAAAGGTGTCGTCGACTTTTCTGTACCAGCAAATAGGTTGGATGGGTGATGTGGTGAGAGCTTGCTGTTCGAAGAAGGTCATGTAGATTTCGGTTAGGATATTAGAGATTGGGACTCCATGGGTAGGCCATGTATCTGTTGGTAGTACTTGTCCCCTCCCCAGGTGAAGTGGGTAGAGACGATGCAGCCTTGCTTGACAACTGTATAAGGATCTATACCGAAACATCGCCTTTACAATAAATAGACGTTGTTATCCATAAATTGTGTCTACTTTGTTTTTGAGAATATACACAAGCATAACATTCCACCCCAGGTGTGTCAGACTCTCTTGGCTGTGAGCTGTTCCTCAAGGACCTCCTCATGAAGACTGTCCTAGACAAGAAGACTCGCTCACTGCTAGGTCCTGCCTCAGTCAATCTGGATCTGTCTCTGGTCTGGGCAGAGCATAGTGGACCCCCTTTGTTCCCACAGATCATCTTCGCTGCTGAGACAGGCATCCTGCCGCTGTATGTGGGCCAGGATCAAGTGGTGTGTCTGCAGCTCCTGGCTGAGCAGGTCAACAAGTTTCTCCAGGTGTGCAGAGCGGGAATATGTAAAGATGTCAACCTTTGCCATTTGAGTGGAACCACCATGACAAAGGATTATTTATGTTCATCAAAACCAGACAATTATGCCAATAATCATGATAATGATTATTATTTACCCCAAATATGACAGCGTTTGCTAATTGCCTCTATATGGAATGTATGATAAAGAATATGTTACTAGTCATTCTGCAGAACAAATTTGTTGCACTTTATTGGTAGGAAAGGCGATATCACTGTGTGAAGTCAAAACTAATTTCGCGATTGTTGTGAAGAAGTGAAAATGTACATATAATATCTCTTTTATGTGTCTAGGTGATGCTTAATTTTCATAATTTTAATAAACACAGGCCTTTGAACATTGTAGAAAGTTATGGCCAAAAAAATTGACATTTTTACAAATTTGAATGAGGTCATTCAAATAACAATTTAGTCAGGTGCTAATTCACATTTCATAATTTTATTCTTTCTAGTAATAGTGTTTTGTACACAAGAATATTACAATATCTTTTTGTTCACAACATTGACCTAAATATGAAATGGGAACAGATCATAGGCATTATCGCCCCGTATCTTGCGATATGATTCGTATCATGGACTGACGATACCATTGGTATCACGATACACCACATCAAATAGTAAGAAATGATGAAATCACTGAAATACAGCTCTATGACCTCTTTTATGTATTTATCTCTCAAAAACTTTAACAAAGGAAACCACAAACACAAAACAGGTTTATATGAAGGGATGGTTATTAAATGTAACCGTTAGTTGGTGCTTCCTCAACTACCACGTCCTTGTGTTCTGCCATGCTTACAGGTGGCGCTATGCTACTTCTGCCATTATGGGAGGTAACTCTATTAGTTCCTGTTCTATTTATAGTGCATTGCGATCTCACAAACTGATGATTCAAGTATGGTGTGTACCTAAGTATTGATGATATCGTAGGTATTGGTGAATTGTTACAGCCCCAATGGGCATGATGGTCTAATCTCCCTTTGGGCAATATTCACTCCTGTCTCTGTAGTCACAATGTACATCTGTTGACCTATGCCGTTCTTGCACTAGTTGCTTGCAGTATGGAACATCTATTCTGTATAATGTCCACTCATTGTGTGACAAATGAACATATCTTGTCACCTCATTTGACAGAAGCGATTTCCCAGCAAAGAGGTGCAGCCTGAAGCTACCCCTGACAGTAGTGTTGGTGCAGGTGATGTGACGGTGGCATCAGGGGGGTCACAGTTCATCCACAACACAACCACAGATGACCTGAGGACCGCTGGCTTTGAGTACATTGTAGATCACGGTAGGTGCATCAATATCTTGTCAGGGCATGCTGATCTGTATATGTGTTGTCCTGAAGAAAGAAGGCCTGCACACACATTGGTATTCTGTCTTCCCTAACCTCACACAGAGTTTGTCAATCTTGACAGACACATATTCTGTCTATCTAACCTGACAGAAAGGTTGTCAATCTTGACAGACACATATTTTGTCTGCCTAGCCTGACACATATTCTGTTAATCTTAGACACATTTTTTTCTATCTACCTAATCAGACACAATTTCTGTCAATCTCGGTATCACTTTAGTGAACAGAATTCACTAATTCACTGCTGAAGATATTTCTGTGTTTTCAGATGGATCAGGCCTGAAGGCAAATCCTGGTGAGATTGTCTTCACGAGCAGTAACAGCACTGAGGATGGCAACAGCACGATGACCTGGACGTACTACCAGCCACGGGTCCTCTCTCATGTCACTGTCATGCCAGTGCCCTTCGGTCTGTCATCAGACAACAGACCAGACAGAGTAAGTCTTGGTTCCAGCATCCTTGTCTGTCATCAGACAACAGGCCAGACAGGGTAAGTCTTGGTTCCAGCATCCTTGTCTGTCATCAGACAACAGACCAGACAGGGTAAGTCTTGGTTCCAGCATCCTTGTCTGTCATCAGACAACAGGCCAGACAGGGTAAGTCTTGGTTCCAGCATCCTTGTCTGTCATCAGACAACAGAACAGACAGGGTAAGCCTTGGTTCCATCATCCTTGTCTGTCATCAGACAACAGACCAGACAGGATCAGTCTTGGTTCCAGCATCCTTGTCTGTCATCAGACAACAGACCAGACAGAGTAAGTCTTGGTTCCAGCATCCTTGTCTGTCATCAGACAACAGACCAGACAGGGTAAGTCTTGGTTCCAGCATCCTTGTCTGTCATCAGATAACAGACCAGACAGGGTAAGTCTTGGTTCCAGCGTCCTTGTCTGTCATCAGACAACAGACCGGACAGGGTAAGTCTTGGTTCCAGCATCCTTGTCTGTCATCAGACAACAGACCAGACAGGATAAGTCTTGGTTCCAGTGCCCTTCGTTCTGTCATCAGACAACAGACCAGACAGGGTAAGTCTTGGTTTTAACATCCTTGTCTGTCATCAGACAACAGACTGGACAGGGTAAATCTTGGTTCCAGCGTCCTTCTCTGTCATCAGACAACAGGCCAGACAGGGTAAGTCTTGGTTCCAGCATCCTTGTCTGTCATCAGACAACAGACCAGACAGGGTAAGTCTTGGCTCTAGTGTCCTTGTCTGTCATCAGACAACAGACCAGACAGGGTAAGTCTTGGTTCCAGCATCCTTGTCTGTCATCAGACAACAGACCAGACAGGGTAAGTCTTGGCTCTAGTGTCCTTGTCTGTCATCAGACAACAGACCAGACAGGGTAAGTCTTGGTTCCAGCGTCCTTGTCTGTCATCAGACAACAGACCGGACAGGGTAAGTCTTGGTTCCAGCATCCTTGTCTGTCATCAGACAACAGACCAGACAGGATAAGTCTTGGTTCCAGTGCCCTTCGGTCTGTCATCAGACAACAGACCAGACAGGGTAAGTCTTGGTTCCAGCATCCTTGTCTGTCATCAGACAACAGACCAGACAGAGTAAGTCTTGGTTCCAGCATCCTTGTCTGTCATCAGACAACAGACCAGACAGGGTAAGTCTTGGCTCTAGTGTCCTTCTCTGTCATCAGACAACAGACCAGACAGGGTAAGTCTTGGTTCCAGCATCCTTGTCTGTCATCAGACAACAGACCAGACAGGGTAAGTCTTGGCTCTAGTGTCCTTCTCTGTCATCAGACAACAGACCGGACAGGGTAAGTCTCGGTTCCAGCATCCTTGTCTGTCATCAGACAACAGACCAGACAGGGTCAGTCTTGGTTCCAGCATCTTTGTCTGTCATCAGACAACAGACCAGACAGGGTAAGTCTTGGCTCTAGTGTCCTTCTCTGTCATCAGACAACAGACCAGACAGGGTAAATCTTTGTTCCAGCATCCTTCTCTGTCATCAGACAACAGACCAGACAGGGTAAGTCTTGGTTCCAGCATCCTTGTCTGTCATCAGACAACAGACCAGACAGGGTAAGTCTTGGCTCTAGTGTCCTTGTCTGTCATCAGACAACAGATCAGACAGAGTAAGTCTTGGTTCCAGTGTCCTTGTCTATCATCAGATAACAGACCGGCAGAGTAAGTCTTGGTTCCAGCATCCTTGTCTGTCATCAGACAACAGACCAGACAGGGTAAGTCTTGGCTCTAGTGTCCTTCTCTGTTATCAGACAACAGACCAGACAGGGTAAATCTTTGTTCCAGCATCCTTGTCTGTCATCAGACAACAGACCAGACAGGGTAAGTCTTGGTTCCAGCATCCTTGTCTGTCATCAGACAACAGACCAGACAGGGTAAGCCTTGGTTCCATCATCCTTGTCTGTCATCAGACAACAGATCAGACAGGGTAAGTCTTGGGTCTAGCATCCTTGTCTGTCATCAGACAACAGACCGGACAGGGTAAGTCTTGGTTCCAGCATCCTTGTCTGTCATCAGACAACAGACCAGACAGGGTAAGTCTTGGTTCCAGCATCCTTGTCTGTCATCAGACAACAGACCGGACAGGGTAAGTCTTGATTCAGAGGCAGGATTGGCTCCCAGTGCCAACCGAAATAGGGATCAGGTTACAATATCTCTACCCAGATGGATGAACCACTGGTTTTTCATTATTTTAGGGCTTTTCTGATATATCTACTTCCTTTTTCATGACTTTAATGACACAGCCATCGCGAACCAGTCTTGAGGTACAAACTGCTCCATTATAACCCTTGAGGTGTACATGATGTATGTGGATGTAGATCATAGTTGCCATGAATATTCCCAACTGGTGGATGTTCACAACAGTATTGTAGATAATGTGATGTAGAATAGCTGATTAGGATTTCATGACATTCACTCACTCACATGTTGCAGACTATTAGGGACTTGGATTTGGATTGTTAATTTTATTTTTCTCCAGAAATTCAACTGGAAAATCATTTGAAAAGTTGTTAAAAAACATATTAAGCCTTTTTCTCCTTTTTGTGTGCAGTACTTTTCATGTCAGCTTTTTGCACTGAAGTCAGAATGTTGTGAATGATCTGGTGTCTGTATCTCACCCAGCTTGTTGTGCTTCAGGTCCCATGCCTCCTCCAGTACTATGACAAGGCCTCCCAGCAATACCTGGGCCACATAGACTTCTCCCTGACAGAGAACCAGAGCTTCTCCCTGCCCCTGCCGGAAGTGAGGGTCAGCAACAGCCAGGACCTTGTGGTGGCCCAGACCTGGAGAGTCATCATCTACCGTGACGATGCAGAGGAGGGGGAGGAGGAGGAGGGGGAGGGGGAGCAGTTGTAAGTCAGCTGATGTGTCTGTGTTGACATTTTACCTTCTGCAGTAAGAAATAGCATCGTTGACTTGCTGTAAGTAGCTGTCAAATTCTTGCCATCATGCAGGGTATTCATTACCATTGTAGAGATGGTTTACTGTACTCCCTTTTTCATGACTTTAATGACACAGCCATAGCAAACCAGTCTTGAGGTACAAACTGCTCCATTACAACCTCTGAGATGTACATGATGTATGTGGATGTAGACAGTTGTCCTGAATATTCCCAACAGGAGGATAGTCACAGGTTCATATGATTTATGTGTAAAAAATGGTATAATTATTTACAGGCTGCAGTGATATACCTGGAATATTGATGACTATGGCATTAAACAAGATTCGCTCACTGATTTCATCTTCAACAGGTGCAACTGATGAAAATCGCAGCAATGTTTTTAATCATAATTACAGTTCTGTTTTTGTTTCAAAAACAAAAAATCTGCTGGAAAGCCTATACTTGCATATTCAAACCACTGACTGTTTTGAAGAAACATTGTTGTAATGGAGGCGTCTGATGCCTGTCTATTTCAGACCTGTCAAGGAAGACAACTCCGAGAGAGATATCATGGTTCTCCCAGCCTCCCTGGCAGCCTGTATGTCTGTAGACTCCTGCTTTGTCCCAAGCCTTATTCCCATCTTCCAGGGATGTGTATCCATGGCAACCATTCAGCTACACCTCATCAATCACCTCCAGTATTTAGGAAAAGGTATGTCGTGTCAGTAATTAGGAAATTTGGAAGTAACTTTGTTATTAAGGTAGTTGGAGGCATTGGTTTTTCTTTTTCAAAATTGTACTGCTTTGGGCATATGTTTTCCCGAACTGGAAGTGACATAATTAAACCTGAGTGCTTATGACTTAGTTAGGGGTGGTGGTGTAGCCTAGTGGTTGAAGAGTTCGCTCGTCACGCCAAAGGTCCGGGTTCGATTCCTGACATGGGTACAATGTGCGAAACCCATTTCTAGTGTCCCTAGCCATGATATTATTGGAATATTGCTAAAAGTAGCTTAAACCATACTCACTCAGTCACTCACTATATCTTAGTTATTTACGTAGCTAGAGGAATGGGTTTTTCTATTTGAATTGTTTTATTGGGCATCTGTTATATAACTTAGTTATGTAGGTAGCTAGAGGCATGGGATTTTCTGTTTGAATTGTTGTATTGCATTGGTCATGTTTGTTGTTTACCTGATTAGCTAAAGTCAAATGGTTCATGAGACAAGATTCATATGAGAAAGTTTTGGGGCATTCAGGATGCAGTTTGGATGGGGTCTGTTTGCATGGAATAGAAACACCTTTCCAGTTTGTTTTGCAATGGTTCAGTTATGGCAAATTACCGATACAGTCTCCACTTCCAGGAGTCCCCACCAAGCTGGCTCCCTACATCATGATGTCTGCTCAACCCGAGGAGCAGAAGTTTGCCGTGGTCACTGTAGATGAACTCTCCGCCTCTTTCTCACATCTGTCAGGTCACATCAGCAGGTCCGAGGTTCAGGTCAGTATGTTGTTGACGTGGAAAAGTCTCCTATGCTATGCTTGTTTTGAGGCTGAAAAAAGTAAATGTTAAGCAGATACCTTGTTTTTGAATTCAAAGTCACGTAGATAATCAGAATAACACCTTTTTTCTCTCACTAAAGAGGTGAGAAGTGGTGAAATGGGATTAGAAGGCCAAAATGCATGTTTGTTTGTTATCTAACTCCACAATCAGTGTTATTCGGGCTATAAATAATCCAGTCTGGACAATCCAGTGGTTGATGTTATGAGCAACGTTCATCAACATCAGGATACGCTGACACCCCATCAACTGAACGTGACCACCTGATCCATTTAGTTGCCTCGCATGATCAGATCTGTGAAGATCCAGGTAGAGAATAGGCTTCAGCAACCCATGCTTGCCCGAAGCAGCGACTATGCATGTCGTAAGAGGCGACTAACAGAATCAGGCAGTCATGCAAACTTACTAATCTATGGCTAACAAACACATAGTGTTTCCTGAATTATGTGCTAGCATTTTTGCATTTTCTGTGTGCACCCTCTCTTTCCCATAAAGCTGTATCCAGTCTTGAAAGTAGGAGTAAAAGTAGTCTTAGCTTTGAAATCGTTCTGTGCAAGAGGGGTGAGGTGAGATGAGGTAAACTATGTGGACTGTTGATGTCAGACACTGACTCCTGCATGTGGGTGTGTTGGCTGCAGGTGTCGACCACAGTGGGGCTGGAGGTGTTGGAGCATCGCAACCTGACGATGGACGCTGTGCTGCAGCCCACCATGCTGGACGGCTACCTGGTGGTGCTACACAGAGAGAAGGTAGGGCCACATACAGGCTACACAACACAACATAGGGGCAGCCACATAGAGCATGTCCTACGATGGTGGACGGCTACCTGGTCGTGCTACACAGAGAGAAGGTAGGGCCACATGCAGGCTACACAACACAACATAGGGGCAGCCACATAGAACATGTCCTACGATGGTGGATGGCTACCTGGTGGTGCTACACACAGAGAAGGTAGGGCCATATACAGGCTACACAACACAACATAGGGGCAGCCACATAGAACATGTCCTACGATGGTGGTGCTACACAGAGAAAAAGTAGGGCCACATGCAGGCTACACAACACAACATAGGGGCAGCCACATAGAACATGTCCTACGATGGTGGACAGCTGGCTACCTGGTGGTGCTACACAGAGAGAAGGTAGGGCCACATGCAGGCTACACAACATAGGGGCAGCCACATAGAGCATGTCCTACGATGGACAGCTACCTGGTGGTGTTACACAGAGAGAAGGTAGGGCCACATGCAGGCTACACAACATAGGGGCAGCCACATAGAACATGCCCTACGATGGTGGATGGCTACCTGGTGGTTCTATACAGAGAGAAGGTAGGGCCACATGCAGGCTACACAACACAACATAGGGGCAGCCACATAGAACATGTCCTACGATGGTGGACGGCTGGCTACCTGGTGGTGCTACATAGAGAGAAGGTAGGGCCACATGCAGGCTACACAACATAGGGGCAGCCACATAGAACATGTCCTACGATGGACAGCTACCTGGTGGTGTTACACAGAGAGAAGGTAGGGCCACATGCAGGCTACACAACATAGGGGCAGCCACATAGAACATGTCCTACGATGGTGGACGGCTGGCTACCTGGTGGTGCTACATAGAGAGAAGGTAGGGCCACATGCAGGCTACACAACATAGGGGCAGCCACATAGAACATGTCCTACGATGGACAGCTACCTGGTGGTGTTACACAGAGAGAAGGTAGGGCCACATGCAGGCTACACAACATAGGGGCAGCCACATAGAACATGTCCTACGATGGTGGATGGCTACCTGGTGGTTCTATACAGAGAGAAGGTAGGGCCACATGCAGGCTACACAACACAACATAGGGGCAGCCACATAGAACATGTCCTACGATGGTGGACGGCTGGCTACCTGGTGGTGCTACATAGAGAGAAGGTAGGGCCACATGCAGGCTACACAACACAACATAGGGGCAGCCACATAGAGCATGTCCTACGATGGTGGATGGCTGGCTACCTAGTGGTGCTACACAGAGAGAAGGTAGGTCCACATACAGGCTACACAACGTAGGGGCAGCCACATAGAGCATGTCCTACGATGGTGGATGGTTGGCTACCTAGTGGTGCTACACAGAGAGAAGGTAGGTCCACATACAGGCTACACAACATAGGGGCTGACACATAGAACATGTCCTACGATGCTGGACGGCTACGTGGTGGTGTTACACAGAGAGAAGGTAGGGCCACATGCAGGCTACACAACACAACATAGGGGCAGCCACATAGAACATGTCCTACAATGGTGGACGGCTGGCTACCTAATGGTGCTACACTGGGAGAATGTAGGGCGGTCTGTCACATACAGGCTACACAACATAGGGGCAGCCACATACTCTTTGTTTCATTGTGAATAATTATATTTTCGTTGTGTTCGTTGCATTCTGCATTCTGATTAGCTGATTTGGTCACATGTTATTGTATTCATTTCCCAAAGAATGTAAAAAATTAAGGGACGGGGGTATCCCAGTATTATAGTCGAGGGAATTCCCTTTCTGCCCTCATGTATTGTCATGCACAGGACATTTAGCGAAATTCATGCATAATCATTGTCCAAACTACCCTTTGAGACTGAAGGCCGAGAGGAAATGGAACAGCAAACGTGCAGGCTTGCTCGCCTGTTTTTTCCCGCTCATCTCGGTTCAACAAATTTCATTACTTCGGGTTTCATATCTAACCCACATTTTTCAAACTGTGAATTCCCACTCTCAGGGAACTAATGTTTGAATCTGGCAGTAACTGACCATGTCATTTGAAACAGCCCCCTTCTCCTGGACATATTTCTTCCCGTTGACTGTTGGAGTTCTTCTCGCCTCTTGCATTTGATTGACAGGTCCTATGAACTTTGTTTTGATCATACTCTCCATTGACTGGCTACACAAGATGTGGGCGTGTCAAGTTATGTGTGTATAAATTAAACAATCACCTGATTCATATCACCCCATAGTATGTATTCCCACACCTGGAATGTTTTTCAATCTCTTCATTTTTGTCTGCTTTGATATATATGCAACTGCTTTTGGTTAAACTATTGTAGATAAGACATATTTTCATAGTCGAAATCAATATTATAAGAATTGACTGTGTATTTTTGTTCGGAATCTATGAATCGCAAAACTGATGTGCAAACTTTTGTAAGACTCTACTATGCTGATTCATACAGTTTTGTCTCATAATGACAGTATTTAGTTTTATTAAATAGCGAGTGTGTATCCTTGTTTCAGTTTTTTTCTCTCCATTTTTTACCACTGTTCCAAACAAAGTACTAGACTGGTTGTGCCAACTGCTATTTCATAATCCAGGGATATATCTCTGTTATTGATACATTTGCATATTTTTATATTACAGTGAGTATAAAATTCTTTTCAATCCATCTAGTAATTTATTATTGCCAAAGCTTTAGTTTCGATTTCTGACATTGTCATGTATGGTTTTGATAAGCATTCCCTTTGTCTACTTTCCTAGCACCCAAGGTGCTTATTAGGGCAAATACAGTAATCTACAAATGATGAAAGTACTTACTACAGTGTGGGGGCGGTCGGGTAGCCTAGTGGTTAAAGCGTTCGCTCGTCACGCCGAAGACCCGGGTTCGATTCCCGACATGGGTACAATGTGTGAAGCCCATTTCTGGTGTCCCCCGCGGTGATATTGCTGGAATATTGCTAAAAGCGGCGTAAAACCATATTCACTCACTACTACAGTGTGTAACACAATTTGTTATCCACCTTTCAGCCCTCGATGGTGGAGTGTAACTGCAAGACTGGCCCAGCAGTGGTGAGGGTGGGGAGCGGGGCGGTGCACACACTCACCACATCTATACAAGCATGGAGTATGGTGGGTCTACATTAACAGTGGTCTTGTTACCTTGCACAGCAAGGAAGATTAAATGTTTTGTGTTGGACAGGAAGCTTATAACAGTACACATATCAGGATGAGTTAGCAATGCTGTTGAACATGGTAATTCACCATGACCTAGTTTGCACAGTGTAAATGCTTTCTATGTGGGTCGTGTTCATTTAGCAGATAAACATTACATATTTTCTGATTTCTTATTGAGTATTTGATGCTTTGAAATTTCATTTGAACCCAATGGTGTTATAACCAAATAATCAATAACGCCTTCAGATCTGAAGACACAATATGTTCATCAACATCATTAAGTACAAGTGTTAATAGTAATTTTTGGAAGCACACTCTCCTTGAGACAGACCTGAATTCACTCTGGAGTGATGTCATGCTGGAATGCCATTACGCCCTTGACCCGTGAAGATCTGGGTTAGAATAGGTCTTCAGCAACCCAAGCTTGCCGTAAAAGGCGACTATGCTTATCATAAGAGGCAACTAACGGGATCAGGTGGTCAGACTCGCTGACTTGGTTGATGCATGTCATCATATTCAAATTGCGTGGATCGATGTCAATCACTTGATTGTCTGGTCCTGACTCCATTATTTACAGACTGCCGTCATATATCTGGAATATTACTGAGTGCGGCGTTAAACAACAAACAAAGAAACATAAGGGCACTGATACAATGGGTGACGTCACAATGCGATAACTGAACCAACTTGTTTTGCAAAATGTGGACAAATATATTTTAATCAAACAGTTCTGATAAATAATGATCAAATATAATATTGTCTTAAATATGTTTTCCATTTTTCTGTACACATTTGGGATTGAGACAAAAAAGTTATGCATGATCAAGAATTATTATTATTACTATTGATTATAGACTGAGAGACAGATAGATTTAACAATGTTTTTCACCCATTTGGATTGCAGCACACTCCCATTCTTTTTCATCTATTGATTTTGCAGCTGGGTGGAAAAACTGGTGTGAACAAGGCCCAGGCTGTGTTTAGCCACATTGTTGTCTGTAATGACACACAGCAGACCGTCCGATTCGGCCAGGTGAGGACATCCAGTGTGTGTGTTGGTGACTGATGCATGTTGGGAGTCAAGCTCCTCACAGCGATATCCCGTTCCTGGAGCTCTCCATACTATCTCTGCCACCAGTGAAAGCTCCCCACTGTGATAGGTGGCTACAACCATGCTTGGAGTTAAGCTCGCAACCGACTGACCGTTACCCCTGCTAAATTATTTTCTTTGTTTGTCAATTTGAATTTCTGTTTCATTACAACTATCATGTAATTGGTATATAGTAAGAATGTAAGGGAGAAGTTGGTTGATTTTCCGTTTTGTATGTAATCTCGAATCAATCTGATTAAAGAAACAAAAGGTAAATTGATCTGGGAAGTATGGTAAGGTCATAAATATTTACAAAAATAACTGTGATGGCTTTCCCAAAGACATAAACAAAAGTATAAACATGACTATATATGGGGTAAGAGGGCAAATTTCAAGATTCTTGTGATGGCAGCGATGTTACCGATAGTGTAGCAAAGGTGTCACACACTGGAAAGGAGCTTGGTTAGGAGTATGTCCATGGTGCATTATGGCTCAGAGGATGAATAGCCGACTTCTGCACTTCATGCAGTTATAGGTCCCAAGGTCTTGTCATAATATATATACACTTCCAAAAACTTTAAATGTTTTGTTATTGTTGGTCTAAATAATATTTGTCAGTTCTAGTGGGTTAAATACAGGATTATGACAACAATGTAATAGAGCTAGTGTTCCTAGAATAATTAACAATGATAAATATTGTTCGATATTTCTTAGTTCTTATGGAATGAAGACCCCCGATCTTACTTGATCATTTTAAAATTTTGTCAATCGCTAGACACATCTTTATGATTTGTTTATTCAACTCTTTGATAACTCTTAGCTCAATCAGTAGAAGCAGAGATTTGGTGAAGGACAGGTATTCCTGTAACAGTGCCAAACAAGATATGGTCCAAATTCATGTGATTCATCATCATTAATTTGTATCCACTGAAACGTTGTTACTTTTACTGTACATCTGGCTTCATCCAATCATCTGTGTGCTACTTGTTATCTATTGCCTGTTGTTGTCAGTGTTAATCTGCAGCATATATACCGCTCATCACTTGTTTTTTGCCACTCCAGCTTGATAACGCAGTAAGAATCTACATCGAAATGTCGCTATATGCAATAAACCAGAAGTTGTTATCGATGAAGTTGCATGTTTCTAGTTTACTCACCAACTTCAAGAATACCGCTCAATCAGCCACTGAAACTTCTCTGTATGCCTCATTGTCACATCATGTGTTGTAACATCCCCTTCCTGCAGGTTGGTACGGATGAGAACTTGGCTCTGGCCTCCCGAGAGATGAACTGCTACAGCTGGAGATCCCACAAGACGAAGCAGGTAGGTCACACACAGACATGCAAATATGTTTAAAGTCAGTAAAAAAAATCTGTATGTCTGCTATTTCAATTCTATGATGCATACGAGTACAACAGGTAATGGTTACTGTTATTATGTAAGACAATGGTCAGTTTCAGCCAGCACTTATCACAATTAATTGACTGATGCTGCAAATGAGCTAACTGACCTTGGGGCATAGTCCCCTATTCGTGAGATTTATTGTGAATTTGATGCTTCCGGGAGTCATTTTAGGCTGTAGAGTGAGTGAGTATAGTTTTACGGTGATTTTAGCAACATTCCATCAATACCTCGGCAGGGGACACCAGAAGTGGGCTTCACACATTGTACACTTGTGGGGCATCGAACCTGGATATTCGGCATGACGAACGCTTTGACCACTAGACTAATCCACCACCCCTATTCTGTGGACTTCCAACACCATTTGTAAACTCGTAGGCCACTGTTATAATGTAGTGAAGAAAAAAAGTTTGGGATCTTGAACTTTTGGGGGGGATCATTTTATGAAATTGTGTACTCCCCCAAAATATTCATGATCATTTAAGTGTTTTTGTTCATATATTTTGTTATAAAATGGATGATTCCTAATGTATTTACTTAACTTTGACCACAAGCATCGCTATTTGTTTTTCTCATAAAGACTTTTTACCTACCATATCCCCGGGGTATGTGATTGGATTGTTTTTAAGGTCCCCATTGGAGTGAGATTGATTGTGAAGTTGATGATTCTAAGTGCTATTTCATTCTGTGGACGTAAACATCCTCTCATTCTGATACTACAATTTCCATGTAACCATGGTTACAGCTGCTTCACGTGTGCATGGACCAGCCCAGCTGGAAGTGGTGTGACCCCTTTGACATCAACACCGACACAAGCGTGATCCGAGCTGTGACAGCCAAGGACCAGAGTTACACAGTCATCATTAAGATCAAGCAGCTCACCAACACCCAGAAACAGGTAGAACACTACCTACAGCATGTCTGTGTAGTAGATGGATGTCATGGTGTCAATCTCAGGATGCCAAGTCCATGCAGACTCAATTATTTACATCCACAAACAAAAAAACAAACAAACCTACATCATGTACTAGATGAAGGACAAGAGAAGGGACTTTTTTGGGTATAATGGTACAGTTTGGAGATCAAAAGGCGAGGTGAAGCTTGAAACTGTACCTTAACTCAGCCAAATACATATGTTCAACGAAAAGCGTATCCTTGTATTCAGTCTGGGGAAACCGCACTGTTCCCTTTCCACTAAATGGAAGAACTAGATTGAGACAAAGAGTTTTCTGAGACCTTTTTCACTTTAGACATTTAAGGACATCTTGATTCCTTAAATATATGACCTTGTTAAACTGTTCAATGCCAGGTCAGCCTTTCTCCAAATCATCTAGGAAGTGATGATGGGGCGGGGTTGGGGTGGTGATTACAGTGATATGGGCTTTTTAAGCCCGTAACATACCCCTGGAAAGAGTTAAGAGTTTAAATATTTTATATATCCCGAACTTCCATGTATGTTTGGGAAATATCTACATATGACATTGATCTAATCTTGAGAAATGTCTAAGTAACACTGGTACATGCTGAAAAGTTAATCCCAGAACAGTGCATGTTCTCCAGATGGTAGCATCACATCACATGATACAAAGCAGAGGATGCAGCTGAAAGGGTAGTCAAGTTTGTTTGTTTGTTGTTTAACGCCGCACTCAGCAATATTCCAGCTATACGACGGTGGTCTGTAAAATAATCGAGTCTGGACCATACAATCCTGTGATTGACATCATGAGCATCGATCCACGCTATTGGGATACGATGGATGACATGTATCTGGTACTCAAGTAACTAGTGCCGTGGAGCAGGAACAAAACATGTAAAAAAGTCATCGATTTTGCTTTCCGTATTTCAATATAAGAGTTTGTATTCAACTTTTTTCAGGGTACGATTTCATAAGGCTTAAGAAAATATAAGAATTGGTTCTCAGGCAATGGCTTTTGAAAATATAGTGCGGGTGGGCGGTGTTTTTTTTGTTTTGTTTTTTTGTTTTTTTGTTTTTTTGTTCAAACAAGTATGTAACCCAAAATACCCTTGTGTACAATCAACCTGGGAAAGAGCCTCCTTGATGAGTGAAATACTGGAACAAATCCGAAATGAAGTACACACGTTCACTGTATTGATATTTCTTTTCAGTTATGATATTTGCCATGACATTGAGTACATGTATTTTTATCCCCCGCCGCGCGAAAGCGCGAAGCGGGGGATATAGTATTCACGACCGTCCGTACGTCCGTCCGTCCGTCCGTACGTCCCACCTGTTTGTTGCCGCGATATCTCAAGAACTAAACACTGGATTGTCTTCATATTTGGAACTATGGTGTATATACAGACTCCGCAGACACCAGTCGGTTTTGGTGACCTTGATCCCATTTTCAAGGTCACAGCAGACAAATCTGCTTTTAGAGTTGGAAAACGGTGTTGCCGCGATATCTCAAGAACTAAACACTGGATTGTCTTCATATTTGGAACTATGGTGTATATACAGACACCGCAGACACCAGTCGGTTTTGGTGACCTTGACCCCATTTTCAAGGTCACAGCAGGCAAATCTGCTTTTGGAGTTGGAAAACGGTGTTGCCGCGATATCTCAAGAACTAAACACTGGATTGTCTTCATATTTGGAACTATAGTGTATATACAGACTCCGCAGACACCAGTCGGTTTTGGTGACCTTGATCCCATTTTCAAGGTCACAGCAGGCAAATCTGCTTTTGGAGTTGGAAAACGGTGTTGCCGCGATATCTCAAGAACTAAACCTCTCGATTGTCTTCATATTTGGAACTATGGTGTATATACAGACACCGCAGACACCAGTCGGTTTTGGTGACCTTGACCCCATTTTCAAGGTCACAGCAGGCAAATCTGCTTTTGGAGTTAGAAAACGGTGTTGCCGCGATATCTCAAGAACTAATCGCTGGATTGTCTTCATATTTGGAACTATAGTGTATATACAGACACCGCATACACCTGTCAGATTTGGTGACCTTGACCCCATTTTCAAGGTCACAGCAGGCAAATCTGTTTTTGGAGTTGGAAAACGGTGTTGCCACAATATCTCAAGAACTAATCGCTGGATTGTCTTCATATTTGGTACTATGGTGTATATGGCGGGGGATATTTCGTCACTCTGTGACAAATACTTGTCTATACTAAATCACCTATTAGAGAAAATGTGTGATCAGCTGATTGCTATTTTCAGCGTATTTTACAAGACAAATGCATATGTAATTCTTATCTCTGCGTATGAAACATTGTCCGGTATACAGTACACAATACCATTAAATTTGCAAATCAATCATGTCTAGTGATGTTTTATCGTAAATTTCATGTTTTCATTGAACGGCAAAACAAGCACACAAACTCCTATTGCCGCCATGACCATACATAACACAAGATGAGCAATAAATCAGTGCACATGTAAAGGGAAGTAACTGCATGCTATATTGGCTTGCATTGTTTTTAAAAATTGTAGCATTTCATTGCCAGGGTCGTGTGTTTGAGACGAGTAATTTTTAAGGACTTTTAAAAAAAAAAAACAACGTGCGGCAGACTTTATGATGATGCAGGCGGTGCCTGAGAACCAAGACTATTATTTTTTTTAGCCTAAAGTGGGTATTTTGTATGACATGTAGTAAGCCATGCTGGACTTTTATCCAGGTATATACATGGAAGTTTTGATGTATGACATCTCCATCTGTCAATGTTTCCCCAGATCATCATCAGTGGCCAGCTTGTCATGTCCAGTCGACTGTCTCAGCACATGGAGGTCAGTCTGATGACCTCAAGGGGAGACAAGTCTGTGAAGGAGAGCACATGCATCCTAGGTGCTGGTCACACAGCGCCCTCGTTCATCGTGGAGCAGGAGGAGGTGGTGGGGGTGAAGTTCCGGGTGCTGGGACTGAAGACGACGTGGTCGCAGGAGGTGCATGTCAATGGAGACAGGATGAAGGAGAATGGACTGATCAAGGTATGTCTCTTTGTCTTAGGTCACTCTGAACACAGGAGTGTCTTGCATTTACTTTGCATTGTATCTGGACAATTTATTGATACAACGTCTGTCTGGTGACAAGCAGTAATGTGAGGTGAGGTGAAATTGGGTTTAACGTCGCGTCCAAGATTATTGCACTTATATAGCGACGTGCATGTACGCGTGTGTGTTTGTGTGGCTGCTTGTACTAGTCCAGACCGATGCCGATTTATAGTGCTAGCTCACTGAGATACCATGCCGCAGTTTAACATGAATACCCCACTCAGACACAGTATACTGACTCCGAGCCGACCAGTCCTTGTTTTAACCCCTTAATGCCGAGCGCCAGACAGGGTAACAACAAGTACCATCTTTTAACGTCTTTTGGTATGACACGGCCGGGGATCGAACCCCAGACCTTCCGCTCTCCGGGCGGACGCTCTACCACAAGACCACGGAGGCGGTCAGCAGTAATGTGAAGTATACATGACTGTATACGTGTTTATCTGTGATCAACATCTGCAGGTTAGGAAACACCATTAGTGTAACTTGAACGCTTTTTGCAGATTCCCCTCCCAGACAGGTCTACCTACATCCATGTCTGGTGCCGGATCTTCTGTCAACACTTCAAACACCAAGTGCAGACTCTGGTAAGTTGGTCATGATGCAAGGTCATGGTCATTGTGCAAGGTCACCATTATCATAAATTTATGACATCCATGGGTCAAGGTCATCCGACAATATAATTAGTAACAATTGTGCACATACGACTGGACATTCAATGGGATTTCCTCTCCTCGTATATAAGCTGCTATAGGAGATCCAGGGTAGAAAGGTACTTCATGGTTGTAATTGAAAATTGTCTGGCTGTAATTACCTATCGAAGTTTTACCTTATTTCATGGATGAATATTTACATAGTGTGATTATTTTCATGGTTAGTACAATTGCTCAGGCTAAAAGTGCCATGTGAGAGACGTACTTATTCCAGAACAGTAATTTGGTAAGCTATAGTTGAATGAGGCAATGCATCACACACTGGACTGATGGCTTGTCATTACTGTGAAGACAAGGGACTTTCAGCCGAGGTTGGACTGTCCACATTAGTGTCTCCTGCTGTGATGTTGCTGGATTATTACTGACAGCAGCTTATAACCCTACTCACTCACTGTCTCAACTGCAAACTGCAATGGTACCCTCCCCTCTGGGGTATACCAGACTTTGCGGTTGCCATTGAGCAGCAGGGGCGGTCGGGCAGCCTTGTGGTCAAAGCGTTCGCTCGTCACGCCAAAGACCCGGGTTCGATTCCCGACATGGGCACATTGTGTGAAGCCCATTTCTGTAGTCCCCCGCCGTGATATTGCTGGAATATTGCTAAAAGTGGCATAAAACCAAACTCACTCACCCATTGAGCAGCACCATTCCATGACCGTGGGGGTAAACTCATGAGACGATGTAGATGCAGATTTTGTTGGAGTAGATGCAGGCTGCTGGAGACAATATTCATGTAATATGTTGTTGATATTGTTGATTCAGTTTGTCTGATTTATGTGGACTTTTGTTTTATTGTGATTGTTCTATATTTTGTTAAAGTATATAGAGAGTCTTTCCAAGCATGCTGATATTTGTTGTCTTTGAATGTTTGGTGCCAATTAGATTTGTTAGAAATTTATACAATTGATAAGACTTCAATTATCCTACAAGTTGCAAGGAATTTCCGATCCTGCCTCACTGAAATAATGTTAAGTTTTGAGCAAGTCACCTACCTTGTAATAATTTCAAGTGACAAATATTTACATCCGATTGAATTGAAGTAATAAAGAACAAAGATGAAAATTCATAATGTTTGTTAATAACAAAACCCATTGCGTGGGAGAACTTGAGCTTAATTTCCAGCAGCCACTATTGTTTCAATGGGACATTTGTTGTGGCATCGTCGTGTCAATATGTCATATTGGTGTCATTAACTGTAGGTTTGAAATATTAGCATTTCTGTGCATCAAATTCTCAAAACACTTATTTGAACGTATTTGAAACAATGAAACATTGAAAAAAAAGTTAAAAAGTTAACTCCCACAGTTGTGAGACAGAAGTGACATCACTCAGGATATGGAATAGTGATGCCATGTTTCCATGACAACTGAATCTGCTTCATAATATATTAAGTATCCATTTTTACCAAGCTGAATGGCACATTCTTCAAATTGGGATTGAGGAAACATGCATACTTTTTATCAAGATATGTTCATATGCATTACATAGTCCAGGAAACATTCTGAAGCATATCCCATGTAATGTTTCTCAACCAATCAGATGACAACACACACTCATCATGTGACAAAATTATGTTGTCAGTACATTTTAGCTTTGAGGTAACTTTGAGGTGGGGGCATGGGTGGCCCAGTCGTCTTAGGCGCCGTGATTCGCTGTGCAGAGTTGCGTCCCCTGGACATGCCAGAAACCTATGATTGTGGGCTAAATCCCGGTTCACCCCGATTATGTTTCTAGGTTTGTCAGCACCATACCCGTGCTCGTGGGTTTCACCAAAGTGGTAAAGGTCTGAGACCTGCATCACTTCGGGCTTTCCTCCCACATTAAGCTGACACGCCGCGATATAACTGGAATAATGTTAAAAGCGGAGTTAAACCAAACTCACTCACTACTTTGAGGTATTATGTATCATCCGAGGTATTAACTGTTGTTTTTATCAATCCATTTATAAGGATACTAAATTGATAATGACTGCAACAAAGCGAATGGTGAGTTCCCTCATTCCATACTATGACTGTCATAGACGTTGGATATTTCTCCTGGTGTTTATTCATTCAGTTTGTTTTTATGTCAATCAAAGCAATTGCAATATGCTTTCGAAATAACTGACTCACATTTAGACATAGAAACATTTGGTATCTGTGTTGTTTTATTATCGTAGACATTTTCTTCATAGCCATAGAAAATTATGTACACTGTCTCAAGTTGTTTGACTTTGAGATGACATAAAAGAACACATATCTAAAATAAAAAGTGTATTCGATAAGGCTAAAAAAAATAAAAATTCTTGGTTCTCAGGCACCGCCCGCATAATCATAAGTTTGCCGCATGTTTCGTTTTTATTTCCATTTTAAATTTTTTTTTAAATAAATCCTTAAATAATCCAAGTCCAACGGTAGTCAAATACTGTATTCCAGTATTTTACTCATTAAGGAATACATTTATGTAGGGAGGCCCTTTCCCAGGTTGATTGTACACAATTGTTTATTGATTGCACAACTGTTTATTGGTTACATACTAGTTTGAACAATCCAAAAAAAACAAAAAAAACGCCCGCCCGCACTATATTTTCAAAAACCATTGCCTGAGAACCAATTCTTTTATTTTTTTTAGCCTAATAAATGTATTTACAGCTTTGATGCCAGTGGTTAAAACAGCATGAACAGTGTTTACTAACATTTATAATCTCTGATGAGTCAACTTCTCTTAAGTCTTCTGAAGAATTAGCATGTTCCATGTCAGGTTCACAATCTATCAATATTGTTAAGTCAAAGTGTCAGATGATATATACTGCTCAAAAGAAGTTAAAGAACACCTGATTCTTTCATATTACTATAGTTAATCTGTCATTTCAAGACACTTTAACTATAGTAATTTGAGAGAATTGGTTACTACTCTGAAAGAATTGGATGCTTTTTAACTTCTTTTGAGTATTGCTATTTATTGACTGGGAATGTGAATTGGTTGTCTTTGGTTGACATACTGGTACTTTGTCCTGATAATGCGGAACATCCATGCGCTTTGGACCTACTTTCTGCCTCATCCTGTGTAGATCTGTATCCTGGGATGTAGGAACCTGGATCTTGTCAGGAAGTTATTAGATTTTATCAGTGTTGTGTTTCTTTTATGCAATTTTTAGCTTCTTGTAGATTTGTGCAATAAGGGGAAAGTAGTTTTTTTCTTTTAAAGAACTGTCCTGTTGGTGATGTGCAGTTCCCCTGCAGTCACCATGCTCTCCTCGTCTCTCTGTCCACCAAAATAAGAACATTCATTCACTGTTCCTATTAACTTCATTTATCTATGAGTGGTCTTTGGTGAATATTATGATTGATGAAGCTTTGCTCTGTACAGTTTAACACTTGTTTTGGTAAGTAACGATTGTTATGCTGTTCTCAAGGCTACTGTTTATATTTTGATGTTGGCTTTTCTGATGAATGAATATATTTTAAATTCACAAATACAAGAATGCTTTCTTCTAACACAGATCTAGATGTTCAAATATTTGTGGGGAACTAGTACGGAAAATCCCCTTTACATTATCAGTGTTTCGTACTACTGCAGTATTTGCCTTTTACATCGAAGAAATGAGTTCATTTCCCATGTAGACCAGGTACCAGGACATGTAGTCAGTTGTTGTGTCATTCACGTATGTACTTGTCAGGGGATTACCTGATGACACCCTAATAAAATATCTATGAGACAAGGGAATGTAATATGACTGGTGATCCTTTGACTTTTTCCATATTTGAAATATATCAGTATTGACGGGACATCCATCAGCTATATTACCTTTGCTGGGACATCCATCAGCTATATTACCTTTGCTGGGACATCCATCAGCTATATTACCTTTGCTGGGACATCCATCAGCTGTATTACCTTTGCTGGGTCATCCATCAGCTATATTAGCTTTGCTGGGACATCCATCAGCTATATTACCTTTGCTGGGACATCCATCAGCTGTATTACCTTTGCTGGGTCATCCATCAGCTATATTACCTTTGCTGGGACATCCATCAGCTATATTACCTTTGCTGGGACATCCATCAGCTATATTACCTTTGCTGGGTCATCCATCACCTATATTACCTTTGTTGGGAAATCCATCAGCTATATTTCCTTTGCTGGGAGATCCATCAGCTATATTGCCTTTGCTGGGACATCCATCAGCTATATTACCTTTGCTGGGTCATCCATCAGCTATATTACCTTTGCTGGGACATCCATCAGCTATATTACCTTTGCTGGGACATCCATCAGCTATATTGCCTTTGCTGGGACATCCATCAGCTATATTGCCTTTGCTGGGACATCCATCAGCTGTATTACCTTTGCTGGGAGATCCATCAGCTATATTGCCTTTGCTGGGACATCCATCAGCTATATTACCTTTGCTGGGACATCCATCAGCTGTATTACCTTTGCTGAAAATCAGGATATCATGATAAGAATGAAGACACTGTGGTAACACTTGACTGATTGTTAGTTTTGTCATTGATTGGTACACATTGGAAACTTCTCTCCTTAACGTACATGCTTGTCTATATGTTTCTATGGTACATGTTTCTTTTGGCGGTGAGTATAGTACTGAAATATGCTTATTTATGTAATTTGTTGATTACTTGTGATATGCCCCCTTCCTGCATCAGGTGCTGCTCACCCCCTTGTACATCCTGCGCTCCCACCTGCCCCGCCCCCTCTACGTGGACATGGACACGCCCAGACTGAAACAGAAGCAGCAGCTGCAGGTGTCGGGACAGGCATACGAGTATCAGCTGCACTGTGTGGGCGGGGACATCACCCACAACCTGGCCTTCAGATTGGCGTAAGTACCACCATAAAAGTAGCATACTGAAATAGTTGGCAAAAGCGCCCAACGTGGGCTGGTGGATTAGGACTTTGTCAAGACTAGTAGTCTATGTCTGAAGAAATTATAGAATCCATTTTGATTTTAAAGCCAAATAAGTGAGGCGATTAGAATTTAGAATAGGTGTTGTCAGTTGGTCACAATGACTGCTGAATATATTCTACTCAACATTTGCTCATAACCAAAATAGTCATCTTTAGTAAAAAATGTGGTCCTTAGCAAATGTTGAGTAGAATACTTGATAAGAGCTGACAATGTTGATGCCTGACTTGCCAGCTCAAGGACAGTTTATTCTGTATAGGCCATCGTGCCAAACAGGCAGCTTGGGATGTATACTCCCCAGGGAGCTGAGAATGGCATTTGTGTTACAATGTCAGGCAGAGTAAACATGCCCCTGTGTGGTATGTAGTCTTGTTATGACTTCATTAGTGGCCTATCGTTTAGTGGCCAGCTGTCTAATAACATTTTCTATGGTCTAGTATGTTCAGACAGTAATGGCCCAACTGGTAACACAGACGTCTGCCAAAATGTTTCAAAGAGACAAATTTGGCCTAGTGTCTTAACAGCTTCACTATGTTGTGAATCCCAATCGCACAATTCAAGTAATAAAACTTATTACTTTCGCCGTTTCTTTTTTCCTGATAATCATGTCTTGTAGTTTTCGAAATAACGTACAGAAGGCAAGGGCTCTAGCCCTAATGTTAACAGTTAAAGCAAATCTCAAGGAACCCTTTTAATTTCCAAAACTGGCTTGTCACGAAGATCAAGTTTTGAGGCTGTGTACTGTGTTGCAGTCCCACCCTGCCGAAGTCCAGTCCCCCTCTAGTGCTGTCCACAGGCCTGATTGACCAGGTGGAGCACCACAACCCAGGCAGGGTGGACATAGACCAACTGTGTTATGACCAGCCCACTGACCCCTCTCTCACCTGGCCATACTGCTTCCCCGACATCGACAAGTAAGTATGTCACATGTGGTCCAGGGCTTCATTGTCTAACTTTAATCAAGTCTTTGACTGACATTTAGAAGTGATACACATGAGACAGAGAATATGTGGATGTCGACTTCTTTATTGTGGGGAACACAATGATTCAGGGTGAATGCTTACTCCATCAGATGAATTCACATAATTATTAGAAGTTCACATCCATATTCTCTGTCTCTGTCTCTCTCTCTGTGTGTGTCTCTCTCTCTGTGTCTCTGTGTGTGTGTGTCTCTCTGTGTGTGTGTCTCTCTCTGTGTGTCTCTCTCTGTGTCTCTGTGTGTGTGTCTCTCTGTGTCTCTCTGTGTGTGTGTCTCTCTCTCTGTCTCTCTGTGTGTGTGTGTCTCTCTCTCTGTCTCTGTGTGTGTGTGTGTCTCTCTCTCTGTCTCTGTGTGTGTGTGTCTCTCTCTCTCAGAGGTATTCTAAAACTTTTTTTATTTGCATCAATTTGATGGCTTATTCAGCAAAGTGTGCAGCAAAGCTACTTTGTAAGCAAATAATAAGTAAACACCCCAAAACAAAATCTAGTCTCCTTAAAGTTGTTGATGTTTTCTCCCAGTCATTTCACATCATGTATTGTCATGCTTACTGTGAATAGTTTCTGTGAACTCAACATTTTGTAACCTAAATTTGCTAATATATTTAATAAGACAGGCCATGATTGAGAAAGATTTAGGCCATGAAAGATTTCCTATAAAAAATTACCTTACTGCTGTGATCAGGGGCATGTTATTGTGATTTGATACCTCAGATTAACCAATAAATGTTGATTATTGAGACAAAGTCATGTTAGAATTACTTCTTAGATAGCAGTGTATATAAATTCCTTTATTACGATCTTTGAAGGAACTCTTATTAGGTCTTACCAGAGATGAAATCATCTTGTTTCCTGTTGGTACAGTCTGGAGTCCTTTGGCAACTTCCCTCCCACCAAGACATCCTGCTTGTCTGAGGCTGAGACCGATGTCCAGCAGCCAAGTGTGGACCTGAGTATCCGCTTGTCGGAGTACATGCCAGGCTGCAGCACCCTCCTGGTGGACATCACACCCTGGTGCCTCATCACCAACCTCAGTGGCATCACCATCGTCCTCCTCAACACTACAGGCAAACTCTCTGACATCCCACACGGCAAGACCTACACACCTCCAGCCTTCCAGGTTAGTAAGATTCTAGGGGTAATTCAACAGGTTGCAAAGCAACAAGTGCACATTTGAGCTGAAACACATTCAGCATGTGAGAGATTATGCAAGAGGCTATTGTCAGGGATTAGAATCTTCCGCGGATCCATAAATTTCTGCGAATTTTAATGACCACAAATTTGTTAAAATCTGATAGCTTCCTCCATAAACACCCCGAAATTGTGGACCACGCTCCATTGCAAAGAAGTTTCAGATGAAAACGAATATGTCCATGCTCATCCCCGCATTGTGAATGTCTAACAACTAAACCTAATCAGAATGTGGAGTGTCTGGGAAGAACATGGCTAGTACCACCCTTAACTGTGATCAGTTTTCTAGTTCTGTCAGTGGCATGTATTTCTGACTGTTGTGTTCCAGAGCAACGAGTTCCACGTCGGCCTGTACCACAAGGGTAAGGTGTTGGCCACTCCAGCCATCCCTATATCGGAGGACGAGGTCGCCAACAAGAGGTACAGCCCAGATCTCGGTCGTGTGCTGTTTGTGGACGGATATGTCCATACAACCATCAGGATCCCCGGAGACACCCCACAGGTACAGCTTTACAGTGCATCTCAACAGATCAACTGTCTCTTGTCTCCTTCTCAGTTTCACTGACACCAGTATCATATACCTATAAATGATATGAGGCATTTAACATGTGCGACAGAGCCAACATAGAGATGGTCATATCACAGGGTTGTACCGGTAATAACCAGACCTGTATTATGCATTTTGAACAGGCAATCGATATCAGCCCACATGGTAATAAATTTGAGTCATGTCTGCTCAGGTAGCTTTCCTGTGACAATTTTATGGCAGATTTGATATAATACCTCGCATCAGGCTAAATATTTGTTGTTAACCTGTATGGACAACAGTCAATTGTCTTCAGTTTCCGGCAGTTACTTGTCAGTTAACTCTATTTTAATTTCTTTAAGTATGAACACAAGTTTTTAACAGTCTCCTATGCATAGTTACTCCAAATCTTGCTTTTAGCTATAAATACGAGTGAAATTTACTGTTTCATCATTGTACAACTATCAATATCCATTTCAGGCGGTGTTCCTCACCATTGTCTCTGAGATGAAGCAGGACATGAGAATAGTCACCGTCAGAGAGAGGTTCGCGATCACCAACTTGACGTCTGCTCAGTTGGAGTTGCGTCTGCTGGCTGTGCCACTGGGTCATTCCAAGGTCAACTGGAGGAACATGAGCTACTCTCAGTCTCCAGAACTCATTCCATCACACAAAAATTTAGAAAAGAAGGAAGAAAATGTATGCTCTCTTTTGACATGGAGTTTGATTCCGCCTGAAAAAGTAGAAACTGAAGACTCAAGGTTTGTTCACTACCTTGCAATAAGAGAAACAATAGATTCTTCAGAAATGGAGAGTTCGAAATGGTCACTACCTCTCAGACTTGCTTCAAACAAAGATGGGGCTAGGTTGTGTGTTTCTGTGCCAAATTGCAAACCAGATGAGGCTTGTACGAAACCTTATTGTGTCACTGCCAAAATTCATGATGGAGTTACGTACCTTGTAATGGAGAAGGACCGTGGACCAGTGTGTGTCATCAACAACAACTGTTCCTTCCCAATCATCTTTGGTCAGGCTCTGATGAACATCACACTTTCAGGTTTGTTGAAACTTGTCATGGGCTTCTATCATTTTACCTTATCCTGACTCATACTAATTGCTTATCTCTATTTCCAAAAGGTAGTGGAAACTTCCTGAACTGTGTTCCCGGAGAAAAGAAAAACAGCTCACCCGAACGCCCCCTGGCCTAGAAAATAGAGAGCTATGAGCAATTAGTATGACTCAGGATGAGTATAAATGATATATTGACTCTAAAAGTACATTTTGTATATGTCATTTTGATTTTGTTAGTTTAACATCTTTTTTGCCGTAGGGATTCCGGGTTAAAAAAGCTCCCCAGCAACCTATGTTGGTCGTAGCTGACGACCAAATGGATCATGTGGTCAGTTTTGTGACTTGATTGATTGCATGTCATCATACCCTTATGGCGTAGATTGTTGTTCACAATATCGATCTGTGGGTTTTGTGGTCAAGATTTGATTATTTACAGGCCTCTGTCGTGTAGCTGGAATAGTGTATAGTCCAGCATTAAACAACGACAATAAATAAATAATAATTGTTTTCTAGTTTTCTATGCTGGAAGGGATTGAGGAACAGAATAGGTCCCCAGTACCACATGTCTACCATAAACCAATGAGAATCAGTGAGTTCCAGTGTGTGATCTGGCTGATTGTGTTTCATCATAGTCTGACAGTTGGATCAAATTTATGAATTCAGGAACAATGATTGCTGATGTTCTTCTTTACATCTTCAGGTACTGTGGTCCAGGAGGAGGCAGAGCTACTGGATGACCTCCCGACTCTTGACCCAGGTAGCTCCACCCACTACACGATGCCTTACGTTAACAACCAATACCCTGCAGCAGATGCCATCACACATCCCAGAATGCATTTCTGTGCAAACTTGTCTCAGGATGATGGCTCCTTCAAACGGAGTATGTGGAGCAATGGGGTGGATGTCATGTCGAACAATGACACATTCGTCAAACTTCCCGATGTAGCTGACATCAAAGTTCAGTCCAGGAAGGTTGCCATGGTAACACACATCACAATCGAACCAATCAGCAAAGCAGAAATATCGGCCAAGGAGATCCGTAGTCGGTTAAAAGGTGCGGAAACAGAAACTAAAGTGGTTGAAGTGACTCCTGAAAGCAATCAGGTTACATTACCTGGGGTAGATGTATCGAAAACTGAAAGTAAACTTGTAAGGAGGAAAGACAAATCCGGATCTGTGTATGTAGCTGGTGTATTCATTGAGCATATCTCCTTTGTAATGATGGATGAGACCACGTCGACAGAGACTGTGTCAGAGGTGTTGAGGCTGTGTTGTGACAGCGTCTACGCTGCCCACTTCCCGGTCAGCACATCAGCAGACAGCACGGAAGCCAAGTCGTGCATGTCCCTGTCTGTGGGGACGATGCAACTGGACAACCAGCAGTACGGCCAGGGGCAGTACGACTTCCCTGTCCTGCTGGTCAAGCAGAAGACTCAGAATATGAACATGCCAGACCTCGAGAAGATGACAGTGACGGAGAAGCATGCTGTGCTCCGATTGTCCAGCTTCCTCCATGCTCAGCTGGTTCTGACTGCTGATGATGCTGGCAACACTGTGACTGAGTCTGTGGAACTGTCCCTTTCTCCCCTCTCTCTGTACATAGATGACACCTTCATTTACAGGCTGCTCAGGGAAATGGAAGCATTCATTCCCAATATTTTACACTGTGATATCAACAAGCCAATCAAGGTGAAACGTTTGCCCAAGAGTGTTAAATCAACTGCCTGTGCTTTGAGCCAGCCTGTGAGGATTCATTATTTGTGTATTCAGCCCATCAGTATGTTGTTGAGCGTCCATGCTTCAATGAAGTTGTTCCTGGCCTCGGATCATACTCCCCTGTCGTTCGGGAAGTTTGAGAGGAAGAACTTGTACACTAGTAGTCATCAGTTGACCAGAGCACTGGCCATGCACTACGCTTCGGGAGCCATCTTCAGAGCAGGTACAGTATGAACATCATCAGTGATGCTGTTAGTTTGTAGAGAGTGAGTGAGTGAGTTGGGTTTAACACCGTTTTTAACAGTATTCCAGTTATATCATGGCTTGATGTGGGAGGAAAGCCCAAAGTGATGCAGGCCTTAGATGTTTGCCACTTTGGTGAAACCCATGAGTGCAGGTTTGGAGCTGACAAACCTAGAAACATAATCGGGGTAAACCGGGTTTCAAATCAACAATCATAGGCAATCTCATTAAAATCAGATCTTAGTTCTCGCTACCGCAAAACAAAGATCTGAGGACATATCCCATTAGGGGTCACGTCAGAACGACCTTTCATCCGACCAATCAGAGGGCCGCTTACCAGATCATGAAAGTGACAGTTGGAATGTGATTTCTAATCATGCAACGTCGAAATCTTTAACACGGGGTATTCCGGATGATAGTTATGGGCTAAACGACTGAATCCATACAATATAGACAATCTATTAGCCATTCCAGAATGTTCATTTGTTCAGGTTTCAAATTTTTAAACGAGTATTTGTCAAAGTATGTTTCGAAGCGTGGTCGCCAATTTGAAAATAGTGCCGTAAAGCACGAGAAAGCTGCCTTCTGATTGGATAATGTCGACTTCATGTCAGTCATTCCATTGGTCGGTCAAAGTTCGCCAAAGGTCGGTCTGGCGTGACCCGTTCTGGGATGTCCTCAGATCTTTGTTTAGCTGTAGCGAGAACTAAGATCTGATTTTAATGAGATTGCAATCATAGGTTTCTGGTGTGCCCAAGGGACACAACTCTGCACAGCAAATTGCGGCACCTTAGGCGACTGAGCCACCCATGTCCTGGTAGTTTTTTATAACTATCATGACCATGGAAAGACTTAATGCCCAGTTCCATGTTGTCATAATTGGCTGATGAAATGGATTTGCTAAAATTACTTGGATCAGTGGAGAGGCAGCACCCAGTGGCGGCTTGCTTGCCTTATTGAGTTAATGAGTTTGTATGGGAGGTGATTGCCCTGTACAAATTCAGGTTTAGAACAATATGAAAGGGTTCCTGTGATTATGATATAGAAGGTTGTCCTATCAAGAGTTAAATTGATTAATTACTATCAGTAAGTCCATAAAATGTTTTAAAATTCGGTAATGATATTAAAGGGTGTCCTAACAAAAGTTGAATTGACTGATTAGCATCCAATACGTCATTATAATGTTTTCAAATTTAGTGATGATGGGAAGAGTGTGTTATCAAAAGTTAAGATGACAAAAATATCCTTAATACTCCAGCAAAATAATTTTTTATTGCCTGTACTAAGTCACAGGGTATATTTTCGGTTAAAGGTGACTTAAAAGGTGCTGCTTTGAATCGAAATGCTAATCAGGTTGGATGGTCACATTGGCTAAGTGGCTCAGTTGTTGCCCGTTTGCATGTATGTAGCTTCCTCCATCAAACATGTCGTGTGTTATTTTGGGTTTCAGGTATTGTTGTTGGATCCCTTGAGATCCTGGGAAACCCGACAGGCCTTGTGCGGAGTATTGGGACAGGAGTGGCGGACATGTTCCGGCTGCCATACACAGGACTTACACGTGGACCCGGAGCCTTCATTGGCGGAATATCGGGAGGAATGTCGTCCCTGTTGAGGAATGTTTCAGCTGGTGGGGAACAAACCTTTGAAGATTGTAAAATATGATCCTTATGTTGGAACAGTTAGGAAATAACTGTAACATGTAAAACACAGTATGTGCTTTGTGTTTATGTACCAGTGCTTGGAACATGAGGAATATAAAAATGCAGATCAGCAAATATTTGAAATTTTGCCTTCCCTGAAATTGCGCACTAGGTATTGAAATTTCTTTGGTGAGACAATATTTAGTTTGTTAACAGTGGTACAGTGGTACAACGTAGTCAGTTTTGTTGCGTTCAATCTGTAAAGTGATTTCTGTACACCTACCAGGAATGATCACATCAGTGACCAACTTCGCGTCCAGTGTTTCGAGGAACATGGACCGCCTCTCTCTCGATGAAGGCCACCTCCAGCGGCAGGAGGAGAATAGACGTAATCGCCCTGTTGGTGTGTCCGATGGGCTGAAGCAGGGACTCACAGGCTTCGGGATCAGCTTGCTGGGTAAGTATCTGACTGACATATCAGTATACTATACACAGTTTTAGCCTATGTAACTGTGGGATGCAAGTTCACATCTGTCGGTCATGAGTTCTCATGATCCTGTCAAAAGTATATTTTGTATGAAACTGAAATCAGACATCTTTTGAGTTTGTTTTATCCAGGGTTGACTGTTTAGCATGAATATGTTGCAGTAAAAGTATATGCAGTGATGCCCTGTTGTCTTTGGCCTATTGTCACTCTGTTGTTCTACTGTCACAGGTATCACAGGATAAGAAGCCTCACACATACTATTGATATTATTCAGCAATGATATTGTTTTATTGCAGTTGGTCCAGATAATATGTTTCCTTGTCGAATATTTGTGTCAGTTTTGTCAATTTGTGTTGCAGGTGCTGTGGCAGGCCTAGCAGACCAGCCTATCCAGAGCCTCATCAGCCACTCCCAGTGTGAGCGGCCAGCGTCCACATCAGCTACAGCAACAGGATTGGTGGCAGGGATGGGGAAGGGACTGGTGGGCATTGTCACCAAGCCTATTGGTGGAGCTGCAGAGTTTGTCTCTCAGACGGGACAAGGTATATACTTTACAGTCTCTGTGATTTGTAGTAGCTGTCATACAGTTCACTTTACAGATATATTCTTGTTATTTTTGCTTCCCATGGATAAGGGTCTGTTGTGTTTCTGCAGGTATTCTCCATGGAACTGGCCTAGGTAATCTCCCTGAACGGCGGCATCCTCCAACACCTCAACCCTGCTGTGAGGCCAAGAATGGAGTGTACAAGTACACACAGTAAGTAGGGCTGTCAAAAGAAAAATCTGCTACTGTTGATATCAGGGCTATGTATTGGCCAAAACACTGCATTGAAGTATATTGCGATATATTTGGAGCTAAAGTATTGGAGAGTGATTGACAGTAATTGTTCATGTAGATCTTATTTTCAACCTTCTAAAGGGAATATTACAATGTCAAAGTCAGCATGGTCAGTTGCTGACATATGTTGTCATGGATACAGGGGAGACAACTTCTTCATTTCCGTCATTTTGTCAATCAATTTTGAAGAAATGCATCATTTGTGAATGAATTATTTCTGTGTAGATTTTGGGTAGTACTGTGCAGTCCTAGTAAATAGATGTGGAGGAGTAGTTTTTCTGTCAGCTGTAGATTATTGTCTATTGTGGATTGTTGTCTATATACACCTATTGTCTATAAAACTATGAGGGCTAGGCTGACTTCAATTACCTCTATGGGCATTTGGAGGCAGAAACAGTAACCATTGGGTGACCATCATGATTAATGCTATGTTTAAGTGATACTTGGATTACTGGATGCCTGGATGAGATCCAACCATAAAATTCCTACTAATTAAAATAACTATTAACTTTTGCATACTGTCTCCTTTTGTCTCTGTCCACTGCAAAGCTATAGAGAGAGCAATCCCTTCTCAAGATAGTACTTATGTATGTATCTGTTACTGTAATACAACTTAACATCATGCCCTTTAAACGTTATTAGTATTTACTTTTCCCACAAAACCAATCAACCCAAAGAAGTTCATGTAAAAGCTACACATATTTATTTTTATTTCATCTGGACCAAGCAAATAGGTTAGCAAAAACAGTTAATCATAAAATGATAACAAGTATTGCTTTACTCTATATCCCAAAAACCAAACCCATCCTCCAAATAATATTCCTGAAATGACCAATAATGCAGTTGTCTTTGCCGTCAAGTAACAGTTCAAATATCAGTGTTAACAGCACCAGTCAGACAAACTATGGCATTGTATTCATTTTTTGTCCTCTGAGGATATTTTTGTTTGTTGACAAGAGACACCCTGAAGACACCTTGACATATATATCAACATTAAGGCGTTATTGTCCCATTCCAGGAAGATCTTCAGTTCGCTTCCAGCCACAGATATTCTGCTGGCCGTTGATGGCCTTCACCTTGACCTGACAGGGTTGGAAGTGGAGGTCACCCTGCTGTTGACGCCTGAGATCCTGTTTGTGGTGAGCTCAGAGGAAGATTCTCAACAGCAAGCATTTGCTGTAGGTGAGCTGGAGATGACGGAGTGCCCTTCCGATGACACACTCATCACCATCGTCTGGAATGACAATTATTACAAGACTACTGTTGAGGTGAGCTGTCCTGTGAATGTGTCCCTTGTCATTGTCAATACTTTGTATACACTATGGTCCTCCATCTTCCTTGAAGACTTTTGGCCAATTAGCAAAAAAACCTAATCAAGACAATGTGGCCTGGTTTCAGCATATGGACAGACCAGCACAGAAGGCAATAATTCCTTTGAATACCTTACCTCAATTACGTCATAGCCATAAGTTCCTGTTTGGTTTGTGGGGGTTATTGAATGAAGAAGTGACATTTTCCTGCCTTGTGCATGCACAGTTTTATTAGTGTGGAGGATAGGGTTTTCCTCACAAATATCAGATATGTATGGCAGTGAAGAGGATGTCTTTTGAAATATCTGAAGATTTTATAGTGTGATTCCAGTGAAAACAGAATTAATGGCTATGGTGTAATAGAGGTTGTATTCTTAGAATAATACACAAAAACTATTGTTTATATTTCTGGTACAACTTGCCACAGCCTCTGCTCCATACATTGCTACAATATCAGGCAGTGGTAGGATTCACATATCATGCACACAGCAGGGCTATGAGTTACATACTGCCTTATTTCATTAGCTGAATAAAAATAGACGCATCACTATAACATGTTTATTCAAACCCTGTAAAGTATTGACAGTGATCACATTGTTGGCTGAATGCCAATAATAAATAGAATGAAACCTTAAGTAAGAATACATTTTGCAAATTTTATACAGTTTCCATTTTGTTTTCATTCATATGTTCATGTTAATTTCATTTTGATGTGTGTTCTTTGCTGTAACGTGATATCCCACATGTTTTTTTCAACACTCAAATCAGTCATTATTTTCTTGCCCTTCAGTCTGAGGCATCTAACAAGGACAGGGTGGCAGCCTTCATAGATTCAGCACCAACACTTGCTCTGCCAGTCAGTGAGGATGTGTCTGTCTCAGATAGCCAGTCAGAGTCCATGTCTCCAGGTGGCACCCACATTCTGGTACCCCAGTATCAGTTCCGCTTTGCACCAAACTACAGGGAGCTCTTCTTCACCATGTTTCAGCAGGCCAAGAACAATATACAGGGGCGGGGGTTCTCAGTGTGAATTTGATGGCCAAGAACATCTTCAGTGGCGGGGGTTCGCGGTGTGAATTTGATGGCCAAGAACATTTTCAGGGGCCGGGCTTCTCGGTCTGAATTAGTTGGACAAGAACATATTCAAGGACGATGGTTCTCAGTGTGAACTAGATGGCCTTGAACACCTTCAACGGCACAGGTTCTCAGTATGAATAAGAGGGACAAGAACATCTTCAGTGGCGGGGGTTCGCGGTGTGAACTAGATGGCCAAGAACATCTTCAAGGACGGTGGTTGTCAGGGTGTCATGGACAGTGGTTGAAATGCACTGAAATACATAAACTCTGAATGGAGTTCTGAGCTAAACATTATCTATTTAGAACCTTGTGGGTATTGTTGAACGTTTGATACCCCTGAATTCCTTATGACATTGTTTGAAACTATATTGTTTACCACATATTTTAATTCAGTTGCATATGTATTGAATACAGAATTCATGTTACTGCAAATATTACATCGTAAGATTGTACAAGAAAAATATTGATATACTGTGATAAGTCCACAAGATTTCCATGTTTCAAATCCCAATCTGAAACATGTTAATCCATGACTATAAGAGGTAATTTGATTTAATGAAGCTAGATACTGAACAAGTATGTTCTAGTGTGAACAAACTAGCTTGTGGCTAGAAATAGTCTGCATTGGTTTGTATACCAGACCTTCACAGACAGTCAAGTCAAAGAACCTGGATTGTGAACAGTTTTGTGGAATCATTTTCCAGAAGTGTGATATTGTACATATTAATTATAAATCCACAGCGTGTGTGGAAAAAGTGAAGAGCTGCAAGAGTGTTCTGGTTTTCTGTGATTCCGTTGTCTGACCCTGGGTAGAAAGGGCAGATTGTCAAGATATTGATGGGTCCATTGGTACAAGTGCAGCATTGTATTTTTGATTTGTATTAAATTAAAACTGGCAGTATATGGACACTGATAGTTCTGTGTGTGCGGTGTATGAACAGACTGTATATGTATGTGTGTGTAGATGTTGAGAGGTCTCTGTCACAGTGTCACTGCTATCACAGCATGAGTAGGACAGTATTAGATGAACACAAGGCGTGCTGCTATTGTACCAGGACTGCATATTGTTCAACACTGGTATGCACAAGAACCCTATTTATATGTAAGTGCTCTCCACAGTTAAATCACCCCAATGTTTTGCTGATGAATGAGTTATGATTCGAGTAATGTCCTTTGTATATGAGGTTCCCGCCATCCAGAAGGCGGGGTCTCCGGACTAACGGGGCTTGTGTCTACTTCTTGAGTCAACGCCATGTATAACCCTGTACAGGGAAAGAATTGTAAGGATAATCTTACTTACCACTCCTGAGGGATTAGAAATTTTCATTATGATAAATGTTAACTATCTATGGACTTTCTCTTGTACCTAAAATCAAAGATATCCCAGTTTGTGAAGAAAATATAACATGTTTTTCTGCAGTTGGAGCTGTTCAATTTTGGATATTGGGTTCAATGATGATGATGATGATGATGATGATGATGAAGATGAACATTCCAAACCTATCCATAACTAACATGCACCTTATTTTTACCAGAGGAATGCTATGTCCATCGCAACTCATAACAATGTATATTTTATTTGGCTGCTGGTGAATGTTAAGTGTAAGATGTGCTTAATTAACTCGCAGTTTGTTTAGGCATGTGTAATGTTTGAATTTGAGTAGTCACAGGTTTTCTGGCATTGCTGTTATGTCCACTGCATGGCAGCATCTTGGCCATGCTGAAAGACTAACTGATGAACATTCTAGCACTCAGGTAGTGTGTTTGAACAGGTCTCCTGCACCCCAGCATCAGGCTTGTCCACTGCATGGCTGCATCTTGGCCATGCTGAACGACAAACTGATGAACATTCTAGCACTCAGGTAGTGTGTTTGAACAGGTCTCCTGCACCCCAGCATCAGGCTTGTCCACTGCATGGCAGCATCTTGGCCATGCTGAACGACAAACTGATGAACATTCTAGCACTCAGGTAGTGTGTTTGAACAGGTCTCCTGCACCCCAGCTTCAGGCTTGTCCACTGCATGGCAGCATCTTGGCCATGCTGAACGACAAACTGATGAACATTCTAGCACTCAGGTAGTGTGTTTGAACAGGTCTCCTGCACCCCAGCATCAGGCTTGTTGTAAGAGCCAGCTAATGAGGATTGGTCACCTGGCTGATTGGGTGTCATTGTTCCCTGTTCATATACCGGTACATATGCTCATGCTATGGACCACAAGTGTCTCTGCCCAGATTCCAGTTACAGGCTGCCCTGATATAGAAGACTGTGGTGTAAAACAATATTCACTCACTCACTCACTCACACAGGGAAGAAGATAAATGGATGCACATTTTGTTCGATTGTTTTTACCAAGGTGTTAATATTTTTGGCAATCTTTATTGTTTTGTCCATGCTTTATCTAGCTATATGCTTTCTATGCAATCAAATGTGTTGGTATGTTTCACAGCTCTGTCCTGTGTGGAAAAAATAATCTGCTATTTGTGGGTCTGATTTGATGTCACTTAATCAGGTCGTCCTAAGTTCGATGATGCTTTCTTACTGGGGACAGAATAAGTTGTTGAGAATGATCGCACAGCTGTCTGACTATAGATATGAGGTAATGCTTTCCCCCAGTTATTTGGTTCTGTTGAGTCAGATAACTGATAAAGTTTGGTTACCTTCAGTGTCATGGGGTGAAGAAACCCATTTTCTTCAGTGATCAATGGCTGCTCTTTTATGGTAATATTTTGAATAGATCTAGATGGGAATAATATTTTTGAAGATGTCATTTATAAGTGAGACTTCATTTCTTGAAATGACCACTTTGTGAATTTGTGCAAGATTATCTTTTTTATTCTTCAATTTTCTTTTCAGATGAATGGTCAGAAAAGTTTGTGTATATCAGTAATTTTTTTACAGTTTGACAGCTCCTGTCGACAATACATTGAAAGTACTGTGCATTTGTTTGAAAAGAATATTCAAAAGAATGATAAAATGATTTTGATGTGTTTTAATCTTTTGACATATGAGAATGCAAAAGACGTATGTTGTTTTTTTACTTTTTCTATCCTGTATAGTCAACAGTAGTCACAATAGTTTCTTATCAATATTTCACAAAGAGTCATAAAGAATCAATGTAATATGTCTGTCATCTGTCATGGCCATGAGACAGTTAGGATAGATGTTTTGTCTCGTGGGTTTCACCGAAGTGGTAAACGTGTAAGACCTGCATCACTTCGGGCTTTCCTCCCACATTAAGCTGACATGCTGTGATATAACTGAAATACTGTTAAAAGTGGTGTTAAACACAACTCACTCACTCACTCAGATGTTTTACTCCTGTATGATTCCTCTCTGCATGAAGATCTAATGACTCCTGCATAGTAGGGTGTGTCTGCAGGTGTATAGAACCATTCGGCTTCTTTTCTGTACAACCTTGATTTGGAAATCTTGATTTAAACAAAAGAAAATCAGCACACAAATGTTCCTTTGATCAAACTTTTTTTGGGGGTTTGATGCCATGGCAGTCAGAAATGACGGGGTGTATTAAATACCCACAACAATTTCATGGCACAGCCTTGATTATTTACAAAGGTTAAATACAGGTTAAATATTGTAGGCATTGTTATCCCGACAACTGATTTCATACATTGTCAGATTCATTAGACACATCATGGCTCACCTGTCTCAAATTGTGCTGTAAACACTAGAAAATCTATGTAAACACTAGAAAATCTATGTAAACACTAGAAAATCTATGTAAACACAAGCCAATAGGGAAATAAGCCATGTTAATAGCTGTTGTCATTTTGTAATCAGAGGATATATTGCTTTGTTCATCCAAGTAATACTTATTATGACGTATGCAAAGCATTGTATGTTTTCTTACTACATATCTGACTACATATTCTTACTACAAATATTTCAAAGTTTTCCATTATTTTCAAATTCACATTTCCAGTGGGCAGAAAAGGATGTATCTTGTCTGATCTTGGACTCAAAGAAAGCATTAACTAATCATATTGAAAACTGTCCCCAATAACAGAAAAAATACAATTCTCAAATTGACAAATAACTAAACCTAGTTAGTGCCATTTCATTCTTTGAGACACTTTTTTTAACTCTGGTATTTTTTTAATGATTTTTCCTAACCAATTAGCTTGGGCAGGTCCAAATAATATAAACTGTGGTTGACCAATTGTTTGGGTTGGTCTGGCAAATAGAAGTAAGTTGACCAATTGCCTTCTTTTTGGCAGATTGTAATGTTTTGCTATGGTTGATCCAATCTCTATGCTGTATTTTCCTAGCCACCTTATGACCATGTGACAGTTTCTGTAGGGCTGTATCATTTACTGCCAGTACTAGAAGCCATTCCATGTCCTGTTCTGAAATAAGATATATATACCAATAATGGTAGCTTCCTGAATTTTGTGCAAGTGCATTTGAGCAATTCTGAAAGCTGGTCAGGTTAAATAGTATGATGTGAGATTGTTCTAGAGTACCATTCAATATGATGTCATATGTTAGCCATGGCACCACAAACTGAAGACATTACATCATGAGAACTATACATTGATTGGCAGTTTCTTGGAAGCATGTTATCATTCATATCACATATTGAGTAACCCGCAGTAATCGGACATGTCAGAATTAGGCGATTCTGGGTTAGGTTCCAAGCAACCTATGCTTGTTGAAAGAAGCGACTTATTGGATTGGGTGTTCAGATTTAGTGAATTCGGTGATTGTCTGTCATCATTTCCCAATTGCGTGGATTGATGGTCGGGTAGCCTAGTGGTTAAAACGTTCGCTCATCACGCCGGAGACCCGGGTTCGATTCCCGACATGGGTACAATGTGTGAAGCCCATTTCTGGTGTCCCCCGCCGTGATATTGCTGGAATATTGCTAAAAGTTGTGTAAAACCATACTCACTCACTCACTCTAGTCCAGACACAATTATCTAAAGCCCCCATTCTACAGCTGAGTGTGGCATTCAATAATAGCCAACCAACCAGAACAATGGGTCATCTGTATGTTATGAATGAGATGTGTAAGTCCCCTGTTTATGCTTCAGGACAGATAGCCAGAATTGTCCCACAGGAAATAGTTACTACTCACTACTATAACTAGTACAATACAGGAAGCAGTTATTGAGAGACAGATTGATGACTACTTCTACCTGTGAAGATCCGGGGTAGAATAGGTCTTCAGCAACCCATGCTTGCCGTAAAAGGAGACTATGCTTGTCGTAAGAGGCGACTAATGGGATCGGGTGGTCAGACTCGCTGACTTGGTTGATGCATGTCATCGTATCCCAACTGCGTAGATCGATGCTCATGATGTCAATCACTGAATTGTCTGTTCCAGACTCGATTCTTTTAGACCGCTTTCATATAGCTGGAATATTGCTGAGTGCGGCGTTAAACAACAAACGACTACTTCTGGTGAATCACAGTGAGACCTCAGCCTCTAATATACCATTACCCTGTATGCTGTTCTAGGTGTCAGATATGTGCGAGTGGTGGTTTAGATAAATTGTTCACATTTAGATACAGTTTGTTGTCTGGGTGTTTGACATTTTAGACAAAGTATTTTCAGGATGTTTATCTGTACAGTTTTATTTTTGTTTAAGGTGATAGATATGTTTGTGAATGTATGTCTACTCTTGTTGATTTGTTGATTCCTTTTACTGCCCAGGAGTGTCAGAGTTATGAAAATGTAAGACAGCGTCATGTTGAGGCAGGTGCCAAGGGTCGATATATTTTAGGTGTTTCACTATGAAATGGTTTCCACTCAAATTGTTCATTTCAGTTCCTATGAACTGAAAAGACTATATAATATCACTGGATAAATGTATGCTTTGGGATTTTGCTTGCTATAAACCAATACAATTATCTATTAATAGAATATAATACAAATAATGGGATTAATTCTGATGGGTTTGGTCTTACTTACTTTATGGATGGGATATGAGACTTGAGCGGGCAAATGTTGAATAAACTTTATACAAAGGTGATGGATATTTTGTTGTTTTTGCCTACCACACTATCTCATAAACAATATTGTGTGTACACAAGTATACGTGAAATAATACTTCCTTTCATGCATAGTGTGGAAGGACATATTGAGGTCACCAATACAGGCTAGGGGAGGTCATCAATACAATACAATACAATACAATACAATACAATACATACTGTCTTCTGCTTTACTTGCCATCCTTTCTCTCTCCCTTGCCCAAAGCGATGACAGCCACTACAGGTTGTAAGAGGACGATAATGACGGCGACTACAAGGTGTAAGGGGACGACAGGGTGTAAGGGGACGATAATGACAGCAACTACAGGGTGTAAGGGGACGATAATGACAGCAACTACAGGGTGTACGGGGATGACGATGACAGCGACTACAGGGTGTAAGGGGACGACAATGACAGCGACAACAGGGTGTAAGGGGACGACAGGTTGTAAGGGGACGATAATGACAGCAACTACAGGGTGTAAGGGGACGATAATGACAGCAACTACAGGGTGTAAGGGGACGACAATGACAGGGTGTAAAGGGACGATAATGACAGCAACTACAGGGTTTAAGGGGATGATAATAACAGCGACTACAGGGTGTAAGGGGATGATAATGACAGCAACTACAGGGTGTAAGGGGACGACGATGACAGGGTGTAAAGGGACGATGATGACAGCGACTACAGGGTTTAAGGGGACGACAATGACAGCGACTACAGGGTGTAAGGGGATGATAATGACAGCAACTACAGGGTGTAAGGGGACGACAGGGTGTAAGGGGATGATAATGACAGCAACTACAGGGTGTAAGGGGACGACAATGACAGGGTGTAAAGGGACGATGATGACAGCGACTACAGGGTGTAAGGGGACGACAATGACAGCGACTACAGGGTGTAAGGGGACGACGATGACAGGGTGTAAAGGGACGATGATGACAGCGACTACAGGGTTTAAGGGGACGACAATGACAGCGACTACAGGGTGTAAGGGGACGACAATGACAGCGACTACAGGGTGTAAGGGGACGACAGGGTGTAAGGGGACGATAATGACAGCAACTACAGGGTGTAAGGGGACGACAGGGTGTAAGGGAACGATAATGACAGCGACTACAGGGTGTAAGGGGACGACAGGGTGTAAGGGGACGATAATGACAGCGACTACAGGGTGTAAGGGGACGACAGGGTGTAAGGGGACGATAATGACAGCAACTACAGGGTGTAAGGGGACGATAATGACAGCAACTACAGGGTGTAAGGGGACGATAATGACAGCAACTACAGGGTGTACGGGGATGACGATGACAGCGACTACAGGGTGTAAGGGGACGACAATGACAGGGTGTAAAGGGACGACAATGACAGCGACTACAGGGTGTAAGGGGATGATAATGACAGCAACTACAGGGTGTAAGGGGACGAAGATGACAGCAACAACAGGGTGTAGGGATCGGGTGGTCAGGCTCGCTGACTTGGTTGATGCATGTCATCGTATCCCAATTGCGTGGATCGATGCTCATGATCACTGGATTGTCTGGTCCAGACTCGATTATTTACAGACCACCTTCATATAGCTGGTATATTTTTGAGTGTGGTGTTAAAAAACAAACAAACTGTTTTCAAAACTAGTTCCTTCTTTAGAACTAATGCAGACTAGTCCCGGGAAGCAATGCGGGTATCTGGCAAATCCCCAGGCCTGTGAATATCAGAGTTAAAACCACATGGAACAGGCTTCTGAATATGTAGGAATACCTTACAATTGGACATTTCTGTGTGTGTGAACTGTTGCGGCACATGCATTTCTTGGACATTCTATAATTCAGAAAATAGGTTTTATATGATAAGTAATCATTTCTACAGTAACTGTTATTGCGGGGACCTATTAAATGAGTGGGAGTAGAAACTGTCCTTTTCAGAAAAGTTTGCGAACACTTCTCTCACCCCCATTAAGGTAGACGTACAAGAGTGATCTCCCTTCCCTCATATCAGTCTTCCATTCCCCACATCTCAACCTTATGAACAGATGGCGTCTTCCACAAGTCCACAAGTGGGCCTATCGCCAACTTGTCACGTTGTTGTGATGTGTTAGTAGTTTATATTTATAAAACTATATTAATATCTGGCATTCCACAGATACCAGAAACAAGGACAGAACCACAACCCCCGGTAGTTGTATCTACACCTGTAAAAATGTTGAGCACCACTTATCTACATTTGACACTGACCCGTGATAAATGTCTAGGTTACTACTGAAACATGATGACAGGTTGGTAAAACAAGTGTATGGTTTACCAGATGATCTAAAGTATGGGCGGCCATTCGGTCAAAAATTACAAAGTTGAAATAAAAGACAAAAGTAACAAACAGTAGTCAAATGTTACGAATAAAGTATTAAATGTTCCTAATAAATGTCAAAATACAAAACAAACCGACCCCGGTAAAAAAATACGAAGCTGAAATAAAAGTCAAGAATACGCAAAAATAGTCAAATGTTACGTAAAGACGTCATATGAAAAGAACAATGTGTACTGAAGAACGTCTATGCGCACGAAAGGAAACGTTGATAATAAAGAACGCCAGATAGTGCTGCGATTTGTAAAACATTCCGAGTTTAATCGGTTTGTTCCGCTGTTATAGAACTGCTTGCCGAGGTGCACAATGTATTACGTCATTTTCATTATCATTACACACTCTTCTTTTCCTATGACGATTTCGTAACATTAGACTGTTAAATTGCGTACTTTTGACCTTTATTTCAACTTCGTATTTTTTTGCCTGGGTCTGTTTGTTTTGTATTTCGACCTTTATTAGGAACATTTAATACTTTATTCGTAACATATGACTATTATTGCGTACTTTTGTATTTTTTGACCGAAATGCCGTCAATACAAAAAGACTTGATCATTTGCAAAGAAGCGGAGGAAGCAACTGTAAAGAAACTGTCACAAAACAGTCAAATGTATTTCTTCAGACCAAAAATACGGGAATGCGATTATAAATGATGACACTTTCATGTGGAAATATGTAGGTAGCGGTGCTGAAGTATTTTTTAATTATGGCTCTGTTTTCCAATAGAGTATTTTATGAATATTTTCATTCAACACCAACTGACCACATTGTCCAGTAGAAACAGTTACGTTTGGCCTTAAGTGTATCCCTGTACTGCCATGTCGGTATAATTTGAACAAATCAAAACCTAAGAAACTGAAAGGGTTAACAAAACCAAATTGATCAATTCACAAAATATACCAACAGTAAATTAAAAGAATCAGTCCAGGTCTTTAACTAATACCCCTCTTTTTAAGTGGCCACTGGTTGTATCGGCTGCTGTCACTTGAGAGTGGTGGCTAGCACGCTCGTGCGTGGTTCTTGGTGTTAAATGTAAGGGCTTTTGATGCCTTCGACAAGTACACAATCGTCTTACATGTAGATTATTTCAGAATCTATTTATGTCAAGGTGATATGTGTTTTCAAGATGTCGCAGAGTTGGATACCAATATTTATTCCTGTATTCATTATGAATTGATTTTACTTTAAACAATAAATTTCAGTTTTAACTGAATGAACACAAAATCGCAGGAAAATTTAAGATATAGAATTTCGACCCCTGAACAACATAGTGTCAGAGATACACTCAGGATACAATAAAAATTATCAGTTTATTAAAAAATGGAATTCATTCTAGAGGCTTGATCTTATTTGTTTTGCATGATTGGCAAAGGTGTAAAATCCCAACTTATTTGGAATCATATACCCCCGTCATGAGGTCAAGCAGTTGATAATGATGCAGGTGTTTTAGTTCATAATGAAAATTGCGAGTCAACACAAATGTGTGTGTAATCATTTATGAAGGTGATGACAATCTATGACAAATAAAACTTTCTACAATTCACAACCTTTTATTTTTCGAAAGGGTGTATACAGGCGAACTTGAAATAATAATCACTTTGACCACGTGAATACCGGAGAACATCACATATGTACATCAATTATCGAGTCACCATTTAATAGTGACGTTTCTTTGCCAACTTGGATTTGCGGGAACGTTTAAATGACACTTTCAAGTCTGTGCTCAGGACACTGGTACACGGCGCAGGCTTGATGCCAGTGTAAGTCTGACAGACCAACTTGAGGAGGTCAGTCTGAGCAGCCTCCTGCGTCTCATTTGTGTGCTGTCCATTAACGACGATCCACGGGACATAGTCTACCCCCTCCGCCTTGGTGGCCACGCCCATCTGGTGCTCCAGTTCGTTGCCGTCGTCACTCTTCATGCAGCTGGAGATGTCTGTATGGGACACGTTGTTTCGAGCAGCACACTGGTGTAAGAGTGAGTGAGTTGGTTTTTACATTTGCCTACATGAGTGAGTGAGTGAGTTGGGTTTAACACCATTTTGAACACTTACCCACAGGTGTAAGTGATCGGCGAGTGGGGTTATGAGTGAGTAAAGAAATTGGGTTTTAACGTCGGTCATAAATGAGTGAGTGAGTGAGTGGGTATGGTTTTACGCCGCTTTTAGCAATATTCAAGCAATATCACGGCGGGGGACACCAGAAATGGGCTTCACACATTGTACCCATGTCGGGAATCGAACCCGGGTTTTCGGCGTGACGAGCGAACGCTTTAATCACTTAGCTACCCGACCGCCCCCATAAATGAGTGTGTGAGATAGTGAGTTGGGTTTAATGTCTTTTTGAGGTCAGTTAACTGTGGGAGGAAGCCCTGACGTGAGGCTTGGATACCCATGATCACAGACATCGGGTGGACGTACCAAGGATCTTAGACAGAGCAAATCGCGGGTTCGAACCCGTCTAGCGGATCCTGACACAGATATAAAACATGAATATTTAAACGTACTAACTGCTTTCCCCTGTTCATCTCGTTAAATTTAGATCAAAATTCAATTTTGCAGTAACTGGCTGACCCTTCATAGAGTGTGAGTGGGTTAATGTTGGTTAACATCCTTCAGCCATATTCCAGCTATATCACGATGT